ACAATTAATTAAGGTTTTTAGTTGAGATAAAAAAGTCAAAGGCACGAGCGGGATTCGAACCCCCGATCTTCGGCTAGATACGCCGCTGCTCTACCACTTGAGCTATTGTGATCCACTCGGACATTAACTTCCCATCTCAACCGCACCTTTGGAATTTTCCCTCCTTTTTGCCATTTTTCAATGGCATTTTTTATCTCAACTAAAAACCTTAATTAATTGTAATATATTAATTGGTCAAGCAGGCCACGAAATTAGTGAACATAAATATTATAACCAAAACCCTGTTCCACGAAAATTTTTACAATTTATAAAAAAAACACAATTTCATAGTGCGTGTGAGTAGAACTGGTTATAGTTCAGGCTGAATAGAAAAGTCCTTTAAAGTTACGTTTCGTTTATTGTGTTTTTGAGCAACGTGACTGCTTAAAGTGAGATTTCAGGTGATAAATTTATCACAATAAGTGGAAATACGCCAGGATAGATAGACAACAATCTGTTCACTAGGTTAAAATGCCATTTTTAGCGTTTGTTCTGCGACTTTTCGACTGTTTTAAATATAGACACGGGTGTATGTTCCTCTTCCCGATTATTAAATATGACCCTGAAGGTAAGTCGCAGAAAATAAGCGGACGTCATTACCTCGGAAACGGTCCGTACAACGTTCGCCTTTCGCTCAAAATTACCGTTCATTACATTATCATAAATTACGGAATTCAAATTTGATGCAAGCTATGATTATGAGATAATCGTAAAACAGGCCATCGAAAACACAAAAACTTCAGTTTTCGTCTTTATGTCAGCGATTCTATTATTAAGATGGGTTTCACAACTTTGACGTGATGTTCTATGCACTGGAATAATGGTGTGAATCGAGATTCATCTATGGGTCCGTCTTTTCTCGCTACCTGCTATGTTCAATGACATCCTTTGTCTTTACATGCTGGCAGATTGTCTCTATGAAAGACATTACTAAAGACAAATTGTTGTTCTTTCAACCCTTAAACAACAATTGAAGACAAATATTTGGTAACTGTTGCGTACAATTTTGTATAGTTGGTTTTCACAAACTTTTTCCTGTTTGTCAAACATGGGCCAATTCGAACTTGCAATGCGTCCCTGATGTCAATCATTGACCTACCCTTTTGGTCAATCAATGTTGCCCATTATGGTGTAAAAATACGAATGACCGGTGTACGAAGGAAAGAAGAAGCTAGATCTGCGCACCGAAGGGGCGTGCCGGCCCATATCGACCTTACAGCCTGTAGGGGTAGGTTAGGGCAGCATGTTATGATCAATACTAGTGCATTGGCTTCATTCTTTAAATCGATAACACCTATTTGGTCCAAAAGTGGAAATTTTGGAAATCTCAATTGGATTGTGCCAAAAAAAAACCGGTATCAGGCCGATCAACCTTAGGATCCAACTGTTTTTTATAAATTTAAGCGTAAAGCTCCACCGATGCAACACGTTGAAAATAATGAAGTTCTTCATTTAATTTGCTTAGAAATTAATTTCAATTAATGCTGCAACAGATTTGAATAAATGGAATATTTTTCACCTCTTTTAAATATTCTCTCGCGAATCAATCTTCTATCCGTCAACAGTTTCATTCTTGTTTAAGAACAAAAATTGGAAAGGTGTTTGGGCGGAAATTAATTATAGAAACTTAGACCTAACTGAAAACTTTACAAAAGTTCTGGAAGCCAACTCAGACTAATTGAAAATGTCTATTTTTACTTTCAAGATAATAAGAATCACACTTTTACAGTTATAAACTGGATGGAATTTTTTTTTTTTGTGTTTAATCTCGCCGCATTTTTCTTTGACAAACTAACTCTCTGTATTTTACATGTATGAAAATCTATGAGACGTCAATTACAATTGTATTAGCAAAAATCGGTGATGTTATTTCATCTCCCAAGATGCAAACAACTGATTTTCTGATCTTTCGAAACTTTTTGCTGAAACCGAATCGTTCTTTAAAATATAAACAATAGAGCAGGAAACCGCAAAGCACTACTTCTTCCTGGTAAGGCCCGATATAAAAATGAATGGTGATATTCACTAAATCGTCGAAAATTAGTTGCACACACCACTTTCAAGCTTGTCTATTTGACTAGTGGACGGACAATTTACTCTCTTGCAAATATAGACAAAATATAAAATTTAACTTATTCATTAATATCATTATTATTCTCTAGAGTATTTAGATATTATTTTCTAGAGTTATTAATATAATGAAAACTTCAATGTAAATTCTGCATGTATCATTCATTTTTCATTACAGAAATATTGATTTAAAGCTTACGTATTTAAGGCTGGATACTAGTTATTTGTTGTTAAGTTACATAATTTTTAACATTACATGGCCAATTGTCGGTTTTTAATCTGGCAAACATTTCAACCCATAAAACATAGAAATAGAAAAAAAATATTTAATTTATATATCTTCCCCTTTCTTTATTTATCTTCTGTTCCTAGGTATAGTTGTATACTTTAATTTGTTTGAAAAAGGACCTCTTTTTGAGGATTTTATAAAGCCAAAAATACTCTCTTCAGTTATCTTTGTTTACGTTGTATATGTAAATAATTTATAAAGACTTAATAATAATTTCACGCTGAAGTTTCAGGCGAAATGCATTGTTTTCTTTATAATCTGCTTCTTTGATAATAAAGAGCCCAATTTTACAAACCATGCTATCATAGAATGAATCATGTTTCTTTGTTCTATTTAAAATACCAATTTGATAATTTAAACCTTTTTTTGCTGCAATTTTAATGCTTTTAATTACTTATAGATTTTTGTCTGTGATTCAGGAAAAACTATTAACATTATAACGATTAAATGTAGTTTTTTCTTCCAACCAGGCCTGGGTTTAAAGGCCAAAATTTTGTTCAGGGTTTTTTCCAAAAGAATAGTAATAATCTAATCAGCACAGTAGGTTTTGTAATAAATTTAGAGATCACCTTAAATTTTATGTTCACCTCGTTGAAAATACACGCTATAATTATTGATTCAACCTAAGATTAGATTTGTAGATTAGAAAAATACCACCTAAACAGATTACGAGAAAAGGAATTCTTCGGATTGAAGACCTTGAAGTTTTGATGCCTCAATCTCAATTAGATCACATTAACGATTAATACTTAAAATTATATTGCGAAAACATTTGAAGAAAGGTGAAAAGAGTCATGGAATTAAAGGGATGAGGACAGCCTCATAGTTATCCGAGACTCCATGACAACAAAAAAAATTGAAAAAAGTAGTTTGCAATTTGGTTGTTTTCGATCATTTCGGTCTACCTATCCTAGCTGGAAAGAAATGTCACGAATCTTATAATATTGACTAGTCAGATCTGAGGTCAACGTTTCTAAGAGTTTAAACTTTCTGCAGTTCTGTGTCTACTGTAACAGAAACAGGATGGAAGACATAGCTCCTAGAAATGCGTCCAACATTATCGCCATATAGTCAAATTTTATCAACGAAAAAGAAATCTCACGAATCTTATAGTATTGACTAGCCAGATCTGAGGTCATCGTTTTTTGCGTTAAGCCCTCAGTTTAAACTTTCTGCAGTTCTGTGTCTTCTGTAACAGAAACAGGATGGAAGACAACTATTATAGCCATATAGTCAAATTTGTGAATAAAAGAGTTTTGACCTATGCTAAAGCATGTGACTGTCTTAATGGTTGTGATTTGAATAATCAAATTTACATTTATTTATAACTTTTTCCGTAATAATCCGGTAACGCTAATTGGCATAAATTTTGGCATTTGACGAATAAGGATCGGGTCAGAGCTGTATCGTTAATTCCGAATCCTGATATAGGCTCTCATATGTTCGAAATTGGAAGAACTGGTCCGACGAACTCGTATTACTACACAGGCCCCTTTACCTTCGTTTCTCTTCTAAAAATACATCCCTGAGGATGGATTTCTGGACGACGACCTTGCAGACGCGTTTTACTGGTTCTTATTTCGTCTCTCTTTTATAGGATTTCGTACTTACGCTCTCTATTTTCGATTTATAAATGAAACGATTTGCCCGTGCAAAAAAAAATCAATAGCTATGAACGTTTATGACAAACAAAAATATATAGAACAGAAGAAAAGCTTGATAAGAAAGAGAAAAAACCAACGAAATAATTCCGTGTAAACAATTTATTACCCTTGGGAATTGAAAAATTGCACGAACACGACCCGAGTTTATTGCACGGAGTTGGATTATCCACCTACCTACCTGGTCTCGGCAAAGTGGATTGGAAAAAATTCCATTTTCCAAAGGAAAATCTACTAAAAGCTTGATACCTTTTAATTAAACCTTGAATTCTTGATAAAATTATAAGCTATATTTTGAAACAGATGTTCTATATCACTTCCAAGTACTTCCATAATAATCCAGAAATAACTTCACTGCGCTTGGCTTAAGTTAAACACCATCTGTGAAGTTTTTCCAATTAATATCTCTCAATATTAAAAGCTTAAATAGAAATTTATACCTCGACTTTTATTGGCAAGTACTACTTTTGTATAAACTTAATATGCTTTTGTTTGAATTTTTGTCAACAATTTTTTTCTCATATTAACAAATTACCCAAAGACGTTAATTTTCTGTAAAGCATGTCTAATGGTTCATTTTCACTCTTGAGATGACCGTTTTCAATTTGATCCTCTCATCCTTAGTGAGATAAGAGATATATACACAAATATAAGCAGGTTAGTGCCTTGCTTATATCCCTGACCGGAAACCCCACCACATTTCTCATTCAAAAACACAAACCGAGCACTGATTAAATCAAGCATTGCTTTAAAACCATGTCTGCTTTTAAAAGGATTTTAAATTAATCAACAAACAAAAATCAATACTCCTTGTTCTTCATTCGTTAAATCATTACTGTTGATTTCTCTTCGCAGTTAGTTTTTGTTTTTTGTATAATTTTATATTTGTGTAATTGTTTGTGTCAATTAAGCTAATGAGTGAAAAATCTATTTTGTTTTAGGTCGAGCAGCGAGATGTCCCCGGTATCGACAGCGCCTATCTCGCAATGGACACCGAGGAGGGTTTCGAGGTACGTTCTCACAATTTTGTACACATCAAAAAAATTTTCATATTCTCAAAATAAAAGCGTCATTGCTCATATCATCAATGATCATGAACAAGTACAGTAGACCCTCACCCGCATACCAAGCATCACCCATCAACATATTCAGGATTTTTTCGATGAGAAAAATACAATGTAGCGTACATAAAGTTTATTCCACGCAGAAGAACAAGAAGGGGGGGACCATTGCTTGAGTTGGCAGTCGTATTACGTTAATGCTTCGTTCAACTATTTGATCATGGTCTAGGATTTTTTTCTTTCAACTTCTGAGCTAATCGAAAGATTTCTCCAAATCTTTGTCTTTGCCTATTGTCCATTCCTTTCTTCTATTTTTTCCTCTTCTTCATCCTCCTTGTAGTCGAATCTCAACTAGGGTAGCCACCGCGGATAACGAGAGTCCACTGCATTAAGTTCGATTCATATATACCAACAAGTAGCGTGTCCTGCACGTAACGTGGCAGACATTGCGCAGACACCACAACTCACTACAGACGCCAACAGACAAACAAGAGTTGAATGCAAACTAGGCTATACTTTGTTCATACTTAAGCATATTTTAAAACTTTTCGGTTGAAGAATTATATGTGGTAGCAATTTTACTTGAAAAAGAAGAAGGAAAGAAATTGAATCGTGTGGAAGTAGAGCAAAAAAAAGGGAAGAAGATTAGCTGTGTTTCCGACGATTTTAAAATAAAGGAAAATTCTACATGCTCTACAAAGCGTTAGTAGATTATGAAGACAGATTTTTTTTAATATTTCAAAATAGTCTCTGACACCGTAGTCACGCACCAGCTCAGACAAAATAATTCATACTAAGCTTGACAATGCTACAGACATGCTCCAGCACAGTTCAAATATTCTTTACGACAATAACGTACACGTTCCGCTCAATTCTTGTAGAAGTGACTACTGATGAATAGATGATGCAGTCGACTCTTGTTAACAGGGGGAGAAAGAGCATTCTATAAATCGAATGGAGCCACTTACCCTCTTTATAATTCTAACTTTTTCTTTGTAATATTCCTCTAAATTTCCACGTATTGTTTGCTTCCGTAGAGCCTAAAGTTTCGAATTTTCTCTTGTGCGGTCAGTGTTTTGTCTGTTTTCTCAGCACTGATCACATAGGAAAATCATTTAGACAAATGTCAAGGCCACTTTAAAATTAAAACCTCATCACGATCTTTTTTTTTTATAATGCATAACAATGTTCAATGTTACAGTTGGTTTAGTACCTCTTTTTCATTAGTTTTACGATGTTTTATTTAGGTACAATTAAAATAATAACTTGTAAAAATGCATATCAACTCTTAATGATTTAATTTTCTTTCGTCTTGATAATTCGAATTAGTTTTGTGGTCCTCTTCGACTTATCAGAATCGACTGTGTATGTAACATTTTTTTCCTTAGTTGATAAGTGCTGGACATTCTGTGCGTTGGTATATATGAATCGCCCTTGAAGCATGATGTGAAAACTAATGTGCAGTAAATTCACTAATTTCGTGGTCCGCTTGACCAATTAATATATTACAATATTAAAAAATGGCAAAAAGGAGGGAAAATTCAAAAGGTGGGAAGTTAGTGTCCGAGTGGATCCAGGTCACGATAGCTCAAGTGGTAGAGCAGCGGCGTATCAAGCCGAAGATCGTGGGTTCGAATCCCGCTCGTGCCATTGACTTTTTTATCTCAACTAAAAACCTTATGTGCAGTTTTAAGACAATGTTTGGGTGTCGGTTTTTTTCATGGGGAATTGCCTTGTCAAAAATCATCGTTGATCAGAAAATTTGGGATGTGTGGTTGGTTGCTTAGAGTGAAACAATCAAAGATGTAATTTTGACGTTCCTTGAGAGTATTTGTACCTGTTGTCATCATTATTGGTTTTTGTAAAAGATACGCAGTTGATCAATAAAGTTGTTGAATGAAAAAACGTATTTGCAAGGTTCTGCACGTTGCTGGCAAAGTGAGTCGGATCAATACTCCTTTCTGTTTCGTAGTTGGAGCTCAAGTTGTAAATAGTTATTCCGTTCACGTTATTTATAGAAAGTGTGCAAAGCCAGGATCTTGATATGAAAGCTATCTGCAATCCACATTTGACCGTGGAGGCCGGTTGCAACGTCAAAAAAGCCGAGGAGCCGGATTTTTGATACACGGAAAACAACTTAACGCCAGCTGTACAAACAACGAGACGTTTGTCAGACCCGTTGCCAGTTAAAATAACGTGCTTTTTCTGGACTGTATAACTGACGTCATGTAGAAGTATGCTTCCTTGAAAACCGAACTTAGGAACGTGCCTAGCACTTGCTCCTAGTCACAACAAAGCACATTCGTCTAATCTGCCTGACATCTTATCTTTTGACTTCATAACGTAAAAAAAGAGTCAACGGCGTGATCCTCCAAGATAAAACCTCCAATTAATCGGTCAATGCCAGAATATATGTCTGGACAAGAAAAAAAGGTTGAACCTCGAATTTAGCCTGTTGGCCTGTTCTCGTGTTCGTTCATAGTCGGAATTTTTACTACCAGTGGACTTAAAATGCTTAAAACGCTGAAGAAGTTTGTCTTCACCACGATGAGCCCGATCGTTAAATATTGAGTCTACTTTAGATTCATTAGAACGCCGTTAAAACCAACTAATTAATTCTGTTTGAAAGTATTAATTTCCATATTCTCCGTTAATTCGGCGAGACTATTACATAAGACTTGGGCGCCGGCGTTCGTATTTATCTCTGCCCTCAACAAATTTAAACAAATTGTGGTTGAAAATGCGTTAATTAATGTCGCACGATCTAACTTTCTCAAAAATTATTAACTGTTCATTAATAGACATTATATTTTACAATTCCTGGGTACTTGTCTGAGCGTTCGTTATTTAGTCAGGTGGATAAGAAAAAAAAATTTCAATCTATCTATTAAAATAATCACATAAAATAGTTATGATTAATAAAAACAGGAAAGTACTAATTATATACATTTATAAAATCTAATTTAAGGGTGTTAAAAACCAAGTATTTAAATAAAATTGTGAAAGGTGTTTGAGAAAGGAGTAACGTCGCCTTGTAAAATCTCGTCTTAGTTGTTTATGTGTATTTTATGTTGGTGTACTGTCACAACGGAACTTTTGAGTACAGGGGATACTGCTATTTTTAACACCCTCGATTTAGATAACTTATCAAAACAGAGTACATTCACAGCAGTATTTTTTTCTCATTTCACAAGTTTTCATAAATACTCGCATTCATTATCTAATTTCCCCAATTCCATGACCGACAATTCGATTTAATTACTGAATGCAGATTCGTGATATTTTTAATGTTTCACGGGTAGCCAAAACGCATCATGATATTGAGATTTTTTCTTAATAAGTATTCGTTTTATTCAGGTGGTGTGGAACGAAGTACAGTTTTCAGAAAGGAAAAACTTCAAGTCGCAAGAAGAAAAGATCCAGCAAGTGTTTGAGAATCTCACTCAACTGGAGCATCCTAACATAGTCAAATTCCACAAATACTGGACAGACACACATAATGAAAAACCTAGGGTAAATTATAAAATTTACTTTAATACTTGCATTTTAAAATTCGATAAAATTTTAAATTTTAAAGAATCAATTTTTATTTTAGGTGATCTTCATAACTGAGTATATGTCTTCCGGATCACTGAAACAGTTTCTGAAAAGAACAAAACGGAATGTGAAAAAGCTTCCTCTTCAGGCGTGGAAACGGTGGTGCACTCAGATACTTTCAGCTCTCAAGTGAGTTTTCCCAAAAGCAGACAGTTTTGTTTTACTTAAATTTGTTTTGTTTGGCAATTCATGCTTTCCCCACCCATATTTCCTCCAAAACATATATTTTGTATCACCCCACTTCACAGCAGTACAATCTCGTGCTGCCTCAAGTTTCTCCCCAATAGAAAATTAAGACCTAAATTGTGGTAATTAGTGGAAATTAAATTGACTCTGCACTCTATACCAATGCTACATCATTGCTTTGTCAACTGCTTCATTATGTCAGTTGGCATTAAATTGCGACGGTTGCTCGGACCCAGTTTAAATTTAGGCATCGATACTCAATTTTTAAAATCCCTTTTTGTTTATTTTAATGGCAAGGTGGAAATTTCAAGTCGTACAAAATAAACAAACATCAATGAAGACAATTGCAATATTTTCTATTTTTATATTGCATATAAGACTAACAAGAGTTTTAAATGAGTTCATTTATTGTGATAAAAATACTCCTTTATCTATCAGTTGATTCTCAATTTTATATGAAAATATTTTAACTACTTTTTTGTGATAAAATACATTACTTTATTACACTAAAGGCAATTTACAATACAATTTTGAAGAAAAAGATTGACCCACGGTACATAGATGATGAGGAAGAGTATCCAATAAGGGTCATAGATCCTATGATTCTAACACAAATAGATTCTATGATACTTAGTAGATTCTCTTCCTCATTGAAACAGAAAATAATTTGTTGGTTTTTTTAAAATTATATATAGTTTAAATTAGCTTCTGCATAATAGTAATAACATGCACTTAATTTTTTTATTGGATTATATGAACTATAAACAGACTATGTAGAAAATTTAATTATATTAATTTTTATTTTTAAATGCCATTGAGAAATTTCAACTGATATATAAAAATTGGATTCCCATTCTTTGAAAACTTCATTGAAAATGCTTGTAAGTTTTGATTATCAAGAAAACTTGAGATTTCACCAATAATATTTTAACTTTAGGCAATCCAACTATGTATGAACGATGATTCTAATTAACAAAAAAGGTCTAGTTTTGTTAAATGATTCATAAATGATATATAATAAAGTTGTTCATTAGTTTTGTCCCTTATAATATAGAAATACATAAAAATTTATTTTACTATATAAAGTTAACTTGAGGGGCGTCGGTGACTGGAATGATTAAGGGACTCAGCACTGTATGGTAAAGTTCCCATACTTGCAAACAGGCTCCCCCCCCCCAAAAAAAAGAACACCGGCATCCTGAGGAAACCCTTTTAGTTGAAATGCTCTTGTTTTAAAAAATTTAACAAAGTATGTTAAGAAAAACTGGAATCATCTTTCACATTTGCATTTTATACTCGCTTTTACGTCAGTTATTGATTTTAACTGTTCTTCGTACCTGAGATTTTTGTTTGTCTTTGTATTTCAGTTTTATTTATCAAAATTTTACTTTAGCCATTATGAATCAGAACACTTTTTTTACTGTTTGAGCGAGGTAGTAATGATGCGTCATCTAAAGAATTTTGAGTGTCATTAAAATAAATATGATGTTAGTACTCCATTAGATTACAGATAATATTTAAAGATGAGACAAGGGTGACTGTTAATGCAGGTAAGTCATTTTTGCAATGTTATGACTTAAAAAAATAAAACGGCATTAATGCTCCATTACGTACAGATTAAATTTAAAGATAAAAAGGTTAGTGCAGATAAATCATTTTTACATTACTACTCCTCTTCCTTTTTTGGTTGACTGTCTTTTCTTCAATGATAGATTCGGATAAATAACTAGTGAACTTCTTCAACCGATTGTTTATTGATGCCATTGCATTTCAGGGCATCTGGCTCCCCTCTTCAGGTTGGAGAATAACAAACTCAACAAAACCATTTTTACATTATTACATAAATTTTACTTCATATAACAGTATTCAACAAATGTAAATATCTCTTTTTTAATAATTACTTCAGATTAATGGATAAAACAATTTAAAACTTTCCAATAAAGAAATAAATAATAAATACACTTGTCACATTTCTTAGGCATTGGACTTTTGATTGATGTAGTCATTTATCATACAATGCACAAATGTCATTTATTTGTGTCTGATTAAATCCATCAAAACAAAGGGAAAACAACAGTAAAAATGTGTGAACGGTTCACTTAATAAAATTGTCGTTTCCATTTTCCATGCATTTTCGCCGTAATTATTGAATATATTGTCAATGTAAATCAACTTTGTTTTAAATACTTTTTCATCTTCACCCCCGCATTTAACAAGCCAACTTTTCTCATCATACCTATACATTATTTCATTAAAAAATCAGTTTAAAAATTAATTATGGCCCTTCCATCGATGCCATCATCTTTTAACATTTTCACAAATTTTGGAGCTTATTCACGACTCAAATAAGAATTATAAACTGTCAGTTGTAACATTTACATTTTTGTTTTCTAAGATTTTGTCTTGCTTTGCATTTCTTTTATTTCACAATTTATATTTAGAATTAGTGTATGAAAGGATTTTGCAGTCAAAGCTAATTCTTCATTGTTCTTTTGAATATTAATGTGTAGGATTGATTTCAGCCTTGTATTAGATATGAAGTAAGTATGTAACACCTAATTATTTATTATTAGCTTTGTGGCGTTTGACTGCTTCGTAAAAATGTTTTTGCATAATAGTGAATTGCAAAGCAAGGGCTAAAAATTGTTAATTTGTTGTTTTCAAGCTCTCCTTTACCAGTATATGATAAAGCAATGGTGTCTCCTTTTGGTATAGTGTCTTTTTGATTAATAAATGATAAACAATAGGCCAGAATTAATATAATCCTCCCTTTTTCAATCTCAATGTTCACATTTTTGAAAGAGACAATTTCCTAACAATTGTGCACATATAACAAAACGTTCACAATTTCCTTTTTTTTCCGTTCCGTTATATAATAAAATTGTAATATATAATATTCAATATATTATTTATGAGATTGTTCTTGTATTTGAAAAATTGGTTGATGTCACATTGTCCATTTCGAATCAAGAATTTAAAAGGAAAAAATCAATTTGATAAAATGTAGATCTTGTAATTTTGGACTTAAACCAATTTTTGTCCAATCTTTCTGTATAATAAAATTGTACATTAATTGTTTCAGTTTCATAATCAAAACTTAATTTGTTATTAATTTAAGATTATTAATTTTATAGACTATAAATTAATGAATTATTTTTAATTATAGCCAAAAACAGCAGTTTTTGTATTTGTTATTTTTATGATGGGTTAATCACAAACAAAATTGATTAAATGAATATTGAAATTATTTTAGATCGATGGTTTATATCACTTAATTTTAATATAAAATATTGATTTTATGAGTAATAATTTTAATTATTTTTTGAAACTAGATATTTTTTTAGTAACAATTTTTTATTTATTTTGTTTTAAAAAAGGTCATCCTTTGAAGAGACAACATAAAATTGCTATATGATAACTTTTTTTTAGTAATAACGAAAATGTAAATTAATAACCATACCTCAATAAAAAAGTTCTATTATTCATTTGATCAATACTGATTCATGTTCCTTACAGATATATATATAATCATTTTATTTAATCAATTTTGTGTTAATGTTTCATTTAATTAAATTAAATAAAGCAAAAGTAAGCCATGTGACAACGGTCCTCGGGCCGTCGGTCAAATGTGGATAATAAAGGTATTAAATTAGTAAATTTTTGAAACAATTGAAAAAAAAAAAAATTATTACAAAACAAAATCAGATGATTTCTTATAATTATCTATTTCCATTAAAAAATAAGTTATTCAGATATCGTGAGATGCGGTCGGGAGTGATGTAGGTTTCAGAAAAACATTTTCTTTATCGTGCCAACGTTTCGATCTTTTATTGAGATCATCTTCAGGGCTCAAAGTGTTTGTCTTCTGTGTAAGTGTGCCATCCTTGTGTGTCGTGTTGAGAGAGTTTGTCTTCTGTGTCACTCTCAACACGACACACAAGGATGGCACACTTACACAGAAGACAAACACTTTGAGCCCTGAAGATGATCTCAATAAAAGATCGAAACGTTGGCACGATAAAGAAAATGTTTTTCTGAAACCTACATCACTCCCGACCGCATCTCACGATATCTGAATAACTATCGATTAACGGTCACTAATCTCTACACATTAAAAAATAAGTTAATTATATTTGAAATAAGTATTAAAAACCAACCCATATTTTAGTAGCAGTACAAAAACTATGTCGAATGGCTAATAATCTTCTTGCTGTAAGTTTTTAAGATCTACATGTTATCCTTAACTTTCACGTGAAAAAAAAAAATTGAACATAGAGTGAACTCTTAAGTTAATTTGAATAGGTTACTTTAAAAACCGAAATAATAATCTGCCAGACCATAGATTACAAGTGTACATATAAAAATTAAAATTTATTAATGAATAAATTAAGTATATACTGGTATACTGATTGTGAGATACTATTGAACTGGTTAAACTACTTTTACAACTTCTATAAGAGGGCATAATCGAATAAAAGCTACCTCTACACAAATATTAAGGTAAAACATTACCATCTAAAATATAATCGTAATAATTTATTGTACAATAGCAGAAATCGGTGAATTTGACAGTTAACACCATACAGTAAAAAACTTTGTTTAACAGTCAGCAGTAATTTATTCAAGAGTTTCAATTACCCATGATTATGAAACACTATTTAAATGGTAAACTCATTATTAGTACTCTGTATGTAAAGTGATCAATGACACAAGGAAGAAATTATTTTGGTGAGTCAGAAGAATTCTTTTTAATCATCTAATAAATACAATTTTTATCTTTGAGTTAGTCAGTATTTATTTTTTTAATATTTCAACAAATCTCAACTCAAGTCCAGTTTATATTATCTGTCTTAATTAACTGTAAGTAAACAAAGCAAATTTGTTTATTTAGTAGTAATAATAATAATGATGATAGATTTTTTAGTTTATAATAAACAGACTAGATTCACGTCAGCACAGCATTGTTTACACACATCATAGTTATATTAATAAATATAAAAATATTAATTTCCTAATTAGTTAAACAATGTCAGAACAAGTTTCACAACACCCAACACCGTTCATGAAACGTTATTTGATTTCGTACTGCCACTGACCCACAAGTTTTACCAATTAAATCAACTGCTATCCATTTTCCATTTTCTGTTGAAAACAGGCTTTATTTATGTATAGTGGTCATGGTGAACAATTATACCCAAAATAAAGGTATAATCATTCACCGTTGTTTTGCCTTTTCTTGTTGAAAAAATAATTATCATACTCTAACTAACCAGTCAGTGTTCTCATTTTTTATTTTAAAAATATATTTAGAGGTCTCTCTTTGTTCAATCAGTAATTGTTAAAAAAAATCAATTTCCAATGGGACATCAATTACGCCACTAATTACCATAACATTTAGTATGTAAGTTATGTGTTTATTTTAAGTTAATGAGGTTAAGAAATAAACGTGCAAGAAAGTACAATACATAGAAAAGTAAAGGAATATGATTTTTACATTTTGGAGGTTTTCTTATTTGGATCTTATTTGTAGTGGGTTTTATTCAAAAGGCACTAAATAGTAAGCAGATAATTTATGAATATTTTTAATGCATGTGTGAAAACAAAATTAATCCAAACAGAGTTAATTTTTCTTGAAAAAATAAATAAAAATTGGGTCTTGAATTTTGATTAATTTATCATTTTAATTTTTAAAAGGTAGGTTTTTTGTTTCAATTTAGAATTAAGTTTATATTTGTTTCATTTTTGTACAACAGGATGGCCTTATAAATGAGAGTAGATGGAGGCATTTTAATCAATCCCAAAAAAAAAGACCAGAGTTTACAGATGTTATCTTTGTTAACTGTGAATAAAGAGGTTGCATATTACAGAGATTGGGCTTTGATCTGATTGAACGAGGATGTGATCCTGAAGGGATATTTGTGATGTTGAAATGAGTCGTTGACTCGAGAACGGTGTGTGTGTATGTGTGTGTATGCGAGAAGTAAATGGCAGGCAGTAAACTCACTTTGCACACGCATACACACAAACACATACCCAGTCTGTTCACCTGTGACACGGCGTACCGCCCCCCCCTAATCAACAGCTACAGGCCTCAAGAGGAAGAATCTCTAAAAGAACGGCGGTAAACCAATTTGATGATTTCTATTTTCCAGTTACTTGCATTCGTGCTCGCCGCCCATCATCCACGGCAACCTCACATGTGATACCATATTTATACAGCACAATGGGCTCGTGAAAATCGGATCAGGTAAAAATAAACAGAGAGCAATACGGAAAAGTTTTTATTAATATCAGAAGTAAAATCGGTAACTCATAATCTCACTACCCTTATTTTGTTATTCACTTTTTGTTTTTAATGATTTTAAGTGTGCGTTGCTATTTTTATTAATTGTATGTATAGCTTGAGTGGAATATGGTATGTATACTTGGTAATGAAAAATAAGGAGTGAGATTTAACAAAAATGTATACATTTTCAAATCACATTTGTTTCTGAAGGTGGGTGTGGTGGAACGATGAGGAAGTGTCAAGGAATGAACTTTTGGGTCGGTCGTCCGATCGTTCGTAGGGGTGGGCACCGATCGCGATGAGTAGGGCCGTCCGTGTCCGTGTCGTGGCCGTGGGAGGGATAACCCCTAAGCTCATATCCAATGATGCTCACTTCATTCTCCACCATCACCACCTTCACTAGATGGCTTGCGTTAAATCCAACTATAATATTATTTCATTCATATTTACAGTGGCGCCTGATACCATTCACCACCATGTGAAGACATGTCGGGAAAATATGAAAAACATGCACTTCATCGCACCTGAATATGGAGGTGAGATTTTTATTACTTGATTACTTTTTACTTTTCTTTATTTTTTTCTTTTATCTTTCAATTTAATAATTGTGCACAAGTGTAATTGGTACACAACACTTAACAATACGCTTGCATGGAACTAGTAAGTAAATAGGCTAACTTTTAAAGGAAAGGTGTTTGTTTTGAAAAATTAAAGCCAACATCTTAAGCCTCAACATAAAATTTAATATATTAAAATCATATTGCACAATTTAAATTTACACATTGAAGATTCTTGAATTGTATCTGTTACAAATAAAATATTATTTAATAAACAAATTATTAACAGTAAAATTAATTAGTTATTGGTTTATAAAATGTACACACAAATGCAAATTGTTTTTCATCAAAGTGTGTAATTTGCTTTATTATAATTTTTTTATCAAATTTTTTTTTTTAATATGTTCAAAAAAATTGAGATGACTTATTATATCAATCAGATTTTAAGAATCTACAACGTGGAATTCCTTCTAACATGAACGTTTTGTTTTATAGCCACACTCATTTAACTCAAAAATGTATAAAATTAAATCATAAATTTTTATTCTAATTATTTTTTCTGTGTAATTACGCCCAAATATCTCAGGTATTTTGATTACATTTTTGTCCAATGAAAAATAAATAAAACTGCATCATTTGTATTCTGCAAGGTCGATAATTTTGACTTGATTGAATTGATTATTTAATCATTTTAATGTTTTGCAATTTCATAATAATTATATTCAGTTTTATTTAACTTAAATAGTAATATAGTAAAGCTTTTAGATATTTAATTTTCTTTGATGCTGTGGTGTGTTCTATTGTAAAACCAATATCACGATTTTTTACTTTTTATAAATGTGCATATCAGGCATCACGAGCGGGATTCGAACCCTTTTTTCCCCCTACTTGGGGTTGAGATGGGAAGTTAGTGCCCGAGGGGATTGAAGTCACGATAGCTCAAGTGGTAGAGTAGCAGTGTATCAAGCCGAACGTCATGGAATCTTGCTCGCGACGCTGACTTTTTTATCTCAACCAATACCTTTCATAAATATTAATTGGTCAATCGGACCACGAACTGTACTGGATTTAATAATTAAACTGAAGTATATCTTCATGAAAGCTCTCCATGGCAATTTCATTTGTTGCCGAGAATCAAATAGATTACACCATCGAATCCCGCTCGTGACACTGACTTTTTTATCTCAACTTAAAACCTTAATTAATTGAATGATATTAATTGGTCAAGCGGACCACGAAAAATAATGAATTGAACTTATATTTTGTTTTTATATGTATGGTTTTTGTTCATTCAACACAACCTAGCGTGCTTTAAAATTTACTTAAAGAAAAGTAAATAATTTAAGTGTTAAAAATACAAATTTAAAGCAACTGCTAGTGAATTATTTTATTTTTTAATTTTTTAATGTCAATAATTAATAACAGGACAGAAATAATAAAAAAATTTCTCATAGCTGATCCTTCACCTACTGTCGATATGTTTTCCTTCGGGATGTGTGCGCTCGAAATGGCAGCGTTGGAGATCCAAGGGAACGGCGATTCAGGGACCTTGGTGACCGAAGAACACATAAGGCGGACCATAGACAGTTTAGACGATCCTCGACAAAAAGATCTTATATCGAAATGCCTTGCCAGAGATCCAAGTACGAGGCCTACTGCTAAGGAGTTGCTTTTCCACCCTCTCCTCTTTGAGGTGCATTCTCTGAAACTTCTAGCTGCCGACGCTTACGTGAATGCGTTCGGTTAGTATTTCGTGTTTCATGACAGTTTCAAATTGCTCATTGTTTATAATTTTAGCCAACACATCTGAAACGATCACGGATGAGATTGTACAGCGGATGTACAGCAGTGATGCTATTTTAGCAGAAATTAATCACCTTAATCAACCTCCTATCTTGTTCAGGATGTCGAATACAAATGTGACCGAGAAGCTGGAAAAGTTCGTTGAAGATGTAAAGTAAGTATTGAATTTTTTCTCATGATTTCTTTAATATTTTGGCCTCTTTCCCTTTAAAACCAAATCAGTTGAAATTGAATATTTGTTTTGCCTGAATTACAAAAAATTAAAACACACTTTAAAATGTTTCTTTGTGTTTTTAGGTTTGGCATTTACCCTCTCACAGCTTATAAATCTCGACAACAAGTGCCTCCAATAGTTAAACCAAGACCGGCCACTCCCGAAGTTGCTGAATCCGTCAAATCTGCAAGCCCAGAACCAGTGGATGTAGAGGCGAGGAGGGTTGTCAACATGATGTGCAATGTGAAACCTAAAGAACAGAGCTGTGATCTCATGGTAAGGTTAAAGGTCGACAAAATTTTTACATTTCCACTAGTAATTTATGATAAGTGATAAATCATTTTCATCCTGTAATATCGAATTTGTTTATTTTACAGATGACAATACTTCTTCGGATGGACGATAAAATGAATAGACAGTTAACCTGTCACATCTCCGATATAGACAACTCCCTCGTGCTGGCACAGGAGCTCGTCTTTTTTGGTTTTATCAACGAGGTTAGATAATGCAATATATTTTGAGGAAGTTGAAATTTCAATTGTTATTTATTTCAGGCTGATAAAGATAAGATCTCCTTGTTGATCGAAGAGACGTTACACACCGGAAATCTAGCACGGACCCAGGCTGCTGTGCAGGCTGCCGTCTCTGCACAAGCTGCCGCCCCAAGTGGAGGTGGTGGTGTCAGTACATGTGCAACCCAAGCGCATTTACCACCTCATGCTCCTGCGCCGCCAGTTCAAACCTCTAGCTAGTGCTATATTCAGTTTCCTCTTTAAATATATATATATATATATATATATATATATATAAAATTTATATATATGTACATATATATATTTGTACATTGTTATAATTATATATATTATTTTCTTGGGAGGTTAGATCTAATGTATACAACTCCCTCCCTGTGAAACGGTTTAAATCAGAATCTTTCCCTCTCTTTTATTGTAAATTTAGAGCAGAATTCCAGTTTATACATTCCCAGTCTGCTCTTACTTATGAGAGGAAAAGTAAACACCTATTTCCTCCAATGTAAACAAACCATAGATTTGCTTTATGTAGAGGAAATTTTAAAGACTTCAAAAACTAGTTTGTTAATCTCTAATTGGGAAAACTATTCAATATAAATTGTTTTGCACCTTCCTTTTAAACTTCAGCTCTGATACAGGCTAGTTTGGTAGAACTCTGATTTTTCAGTTGGAACAAAAAACAAAGGGCTTTATCATTAATCTGATTTTTTCAAAATTAAATTATTTAAGATCTTGTGATTGTGTATTTCCATTTGTAATTTTATATAATTATTTTTAAACAACTGAAAAAAAAACTTATAAAATAAAATATCGAATGTTTAAATCAATAAATATAAATATTGTGTTTTTTTTTGTTTTTTAATGGTCTTTTGTTCCTTTGGCTAAAAAAAATGAGTTTGTCAGATGTAAACCCTTTCATTAACACAACAAATCGGTTTAAAAATAATTTTGATATGCCCTTCCAAATAGTAATAATAAAGAAACAAAGTAGTTCATTCAAAGTGACACTGAAATTTCCCAAATTGAATGATTGACCAGTTATTGCCATTGTGACACCGAAGGGACTCCGATTTTTATATATAATGTAAAAATGAAAAAAAAAAAAAAACGATGTGATAATTAGTCTATATTTTTTTAAAAGTAACTGCCAATTTTTTAAACCTACAACCAAGGTAGGACAAGTGTTTGTTGCACACAGGGAGATTCTTTGGAAACAAATTTTTTAAAGGATGTTTTGTATGACGGTTGTTTGAACTGCAAAATTATATTTCCTTATTCATAATCAGCATTTACACAGACTTATTTTTGTAATACCACTTTTATTGCTTTTATTACTGTTTTTGTGTGCCATTTCTCTACCGTTTACTTTTTATGTATGTGTTGCCCTTATATTTTCTTTTTTAAACTAGAGAAATTGCCATGATACTATTTATTATATTTTATACATACTTCTAGATATGATTACTATCGTTATTTTATTTGGGTAATATTATTCTCATTTGTAAAGTGTAGCTTTATTTCTTACACAATAAAATTCTATTTTGCATATTTCACTTCTCGTTTTTTTTTTTTTTTTTTTTTTTTTCCAATTATTATTAAAGTACTATCTAAAAACAGACTTCCTTTATAAATAAAAGATAATAAAACTACATTTTTAGAAACATGGTGAATATGTAAATAGAACAGTTTTGCACTCCCTTGTAGTAATAAATAAAAAATGTTGGTTACAATATTTCTTATAATTAATTACGTAGGAAGTAACTTAAAGTGTAGATATTCTTCTCAATAGCACAAACTGATGGGTTGTACAGGGAAGGAAAAGTTTTTAACAGAAACCTTTAAGAAATTTAAAATTGTCAATTTAGGATTATTATCCGAACCTAACAATTTTTATCTCTGATCAAGCTCTAATAGTTTTAATTATCAAAAAGTAAGTTTCCTGTTGTAGGCAGTTAAGGTTGCCATTGCTCACTGAAAAATATAAAAAAAGTATATATACACTGCTTTGTTTTAATAAGATCCATAGTATAAAAGTTCTTTGATTAGGGTGAATTTGAATTTTTTCAACGAGCTGTATTATTATTGAAGAAAAATGTTTTGCCACAGCAACGTTGAATCCCAGTTGGACATAAACATAAAAGTCCATTAGCCCCCCTCCAGAAGAAAAGGTACTGATTAAAACATCCAAGGCAGAATCGATTAATTCCTTTGAACTTGTGTACTATGGATAAATTTGTAGTATAAAACCATTGTGAGAATTTGTGGAGACAAAAAATGTTTAGAGTCGGAAAAAATGACTGATATGCGCTGCGATAAAGCTGAAGGCTGTTATTATTATTATTGTAACATTATTAATTATTAATGTTATATACATAGTTATTTCTAGTAGGTGTATTATCGAATAAATATGCAATATTTGTCTTTGTCAGTGTTTTTACAACAGAATTTATTGATTAAAAAAGTTTTTTGTAAGTCATATCATCTCTTCTGGAACGAGAAATTATAAACGCTCTTTGCTTTATTTAAATTTTACATATATCACTGTTTTTTAATCTGTTTTTGAAAGATGTAAGGATGGGAAGAGAACGCTCAGTTTTAATAGATATTAAACACTATTTTTAGGATATAATTTAGTTTATAAACTGTGATTGTTTCTCGCTACAAAGATTTGACCGATTCTGAGCAAATCTTTGTGCACTACTAAATAATTATTTAAAATCGCCTAATTTTTTCTGGAAATGTAATTAAAAAAATTTTAAAAAAAGGTGCTTTGCTTGCTTACATTCTTGTACGAAAGACTGATCTTGAGCTATAAGGTCAATTATCGACATACCGCTTGTATAACAAAATCTGCGTAGCCCTTAAAACATTTATGTTGTATTATGTAAATGTATATTTTATATCATAATTGACTGATATTATTCACACTTTTATGTTAAATAAAATATTTTTAAAAAAACATTGTTTCGAATGTATTGTAATTGTTAGACTTATAATTTACAGAAACATTCACTGTAATACATGCCTTCTCTTCCCTGGTATTAAAAAAATTCAACTGTAATAAAATTTGGAAAGGACTGTGAAAATAAAACAAATTATTTGTGAAAAACAATTTAATGTGACCCCATTTAACTTTAAACTCGGTTAAAATTATTTTTATTTAGGCCTTTAATGCATGAAACATGTTATTGGAAATCCATGTTCATTTGGAGAAAAGGTACGTTCAAAATTATTTCGACTGTTCATTATTTGAAATTAAATATTCTTGGCATTTCTTTAATAATGTTTTTGTCTCGTCGTATTTGACATAGCCGAGAGCTTCGTCTAACGATGACCACTTATAGTCTTTATGCTCGCGTGAGAGTACGACGGGATTCTGGCCTGTGTACTCAGCAAGCCAATACGTGACTTCTTTCGGTTTCCCTTTGACAGAATAGTTGAGCATGAGTTTGAAGTCTTTGAGTTTCAGCTGGTCTTTCTTCAATCCCGCTTCTTCCTCTGTCTCTCGAAAAGCCGTCTCCAAGAGTTCTTCACCCGGGTCGACATGGCCTTTGGGCGGTGTCCAGTGAAAATCCCCATAACTCGCTTGGAGCAAAAGATATTTCCAGCTACCAGACTCATGTCGGCAAATGACCAAACCAGCAGCCTTGACCAATGTCATTTTTTCTTTTAGTTATTCTACGAAATAAAGGAAAATTAAATTAAATGTCATGTTGTCATAACACTAATGCTGTAAAAAAGCATGTCAAAATCTGAAAAGTATTAAAATATTTAAAATAAAATTTTAGTTTAGCTTAGTCAATAGCCAGCATCAAGCTGGTGTGTAATTGTTATTTTCATGATTTTGTGTCATCCTTTCGCAGTACCTACTAGTTTCAAGGGTTTTTTTTTTCATATTTGGTAATTTCTGGAGGAATAGGTATCTAAGATTTAGTAGAAATAATCAATCGTATATTCAAACTCACAACTAAACCTCAACCAGTAGGTGAAAATCAAAAACGGTTAAAAAACTTATTTTTTAGATATTTTTTTGTAATTTTAGACGTTTAACTAGTTTCAAAAAGTTTTTGCTTATATAGGTACAATTTCTGGAATGATACGTATCTGAGATCTACTAGAAATAGTCTACTAATATATCAATACTCAAACACAACTAACACCTCACCTGATAGGTAAAAATAAAAATTAAAAAACAAAAAAACTGTTAAAACACCTACTTTTTATAATTGTTTTGATGTTTTAGATGTTTCACTAGTTTCAAATAGTTTTTTTATTTATTGGGTACAATTTCTGGAGCAATAGGTATTGGAGATCTAGTAGAAATAGTCGAATACACACCCACACTCAAACTCACAGCTAACACCTCAACCGGTAGGTGAAAATCAAAAAACAGTTAAAACACCGACTTTTTATAATTGTTTTGGTATTTTAGATGATTCATTAGTTTCAAAAAGTTTTTATTTATTTGATACAATTTCTGGAGCAATAGGTGTCTGAGATCTAGTAGAAATAGTCAAGTCCATCAATACTCAAACTCGCTACTAACACTTCAACAGGTAGATGAAAAAAAAGGTTAAAATGTGTACTTTTTAGAATTTTTTTGTATTTTAGATGTTTAACTAGTTTCAAAAAGTTTTTTTACATAGTGGGTACAATTTCTAGAGCAATAGGTGTCCGATATCTAGTAGAAATAGTCGAATACACCACCAACACTCAAACTCACAACTAACACCTCAATAGGTAGGTGGGGGGAACGGTTAAAACACTTACTTTTTAGATTTTTTTTATTTTAGATGTTTAACTAGTTTCAAAAAGTTTTTTTACATAGTAGGTACGATTTCTGGAGCGATAGGTATCCGAGTTCTAGTAGAAATAGTCAAATACATCACTACTCAAACACAACTAACACCTCAACCGTTAGATGAAAATCAAAAAACCGATTAAAACATCTACTTTTTATTATTTTTTTGGGTATGTTAGTTGCTTCACTAGTTTCAAAAAGATTCCAAAAAAGTTTAAAGGTTTAAAGCGTTCTATGATTTTTTTTAAAACTAACAATTCTAAAAAATAACTTCCCGATCGTGATAACTCTTAATAATATATCTCCTATATAGTCTCAATAATATTCAACATACTTCAACATTACAATTTTATGTTAAAAGGATGAGGCTATTTAGAAAGAAAACCCTCAGTTTGTCTTGCACAAGCATGAACAAAAACAAAATCAAACTTCGAAGCTGTTTCATCTCAAGTTCATAGTGCCCTCAAATATTAGTATAGTTAGGGATGGTAAGGGCTAGTACACACTCATAGCCGATTTTGCCTGTGCGGACCTAGATGATCTAGAACCTTTGTCATGCATCCACACCTGCACAGTTGTTTCCGTAATAACATGTCGAGTGAGATAGTGGCTTTGTTGCTTGGACAGTGAATTTTTAATCATAAAAATTGTATCGTAAACGTTGGTGGACAAGGCTTTTAGCATATGGTTTGGATTGACTGTTCTGGAAAAATGAAAATTAGAAGATAGGCTGGGTTTCGGAAATTTCACCCGGCTAACCACCGCAGATTTTGAAAATTTGTTACTTATGGTTGGAAATAAAATATGCGAGCAAGAAACAAGATTCAGATCAACAATTCCAGGCTCCAAAATACGAAATGTTGCGCGACGTCTCAAGTTTTCCATCCGAGCAGGGAGACCAGACATGCAATTTTGGTCAACAGGTAGTTCAGAACAGCGATATGTCTATAGACAGTATAGACACGAGTTGCGCGATTGTCTACGTGTGTACTAGCCTTAAAATTTTCCTAAATTCCTTTTACTAGAAAAAGGCTCAAAGAAAATAATCGCAGGACTCGGCACCCGGCTCGCGGACCTCTTCCTACCACAGCTCAGAAAATGGTTTAATACGCACTGTGAATTGGACATTGGAAACGAGTTCTCTAGAGCACTTATTGTGGACATGGTGTCGGACGACTACCTGATAATGAATGAGGTTGCATTCGAGTGCTTGGCGTGGTCAGCTCCAAGTCCAGTCTCTACTCTCTACTCTCTAGATCTGAAGTTCTGGAGTCTGGACCCAATCCAACACATTTGGGATCAACTAGCGACGAAGCCGTGAAACTAACACCCTCCAAGAGTTGGAAACGGCTCTTCTTTATGAATGGGGAAGAATTCCTCAGGATTTTATCAGAAATACTAGATATTAAAAGGGAAAAATTAACTCAATATATTTTTTTTTTTAATAATAGGTAATAAATATTTTATTTTTAAATGTCTTATTTTTACAACCAAACCGATTTTTGGTATGCAAAATGTAAATAAACCTAAATAAATTGAAATGTAATGGCGGCGCTTTGTTTTTTCCCCCATAAGTGTATAACTTTCCCCATCTAAGAATAATACTAGATCAAAATCTTACAAGAAAGAAAAATTAAAAGAAATGATAAATGGAGTGAGTGTGGTGTTCAATCCTTTTTAGAAAGATAGTTCCTACTCACAGTAAGTTGTTTTGCAATAATCCGGATTTAGCTCATCATCAGGTAGAAGTCCTTCAATCTGATGATGAGCTAAAAGGCTCGAAATCCGGATCGTTGCAAAACAACTTACTGTGAGTAGGAACTATCTTTTTAAAAAGGATAGAAAAATTAAATGTTGAATATCTCCAAAAGAGAATTATCCGTTTGATGGAACTCGGACAGTAATGGTAGTTTATATTTGACAATTTTGTCCGGAAATATATGTCGAGAGTCAGACAGAAAATCGCTTTGACTGTTTACACACTGACAGAAATTTCTAGAAATTTATATTCTATCATATATTTATATATGTTGGTGTTGTGTGAAATTGTTGTGAAACGTGAATTTCGAACTAAATATGACATCACAAAAATAGCACCACACTTTATGTGAAGATGAAATACTTGGTTCAAAATTTATATTTACATCTTAAATTGTAGTTTTTTTCCAATCAACTTATCTTTTTTAATTTATCCAGGCCTGAAGATGACCGGAATAAAGGTCAAAACGTTGGCAAAAAAATGAAAAAGGTGGTTTTTTTTAAATTACTTCATTCTTGACCACTCCTCACAATTCCAACAAATTATTATTGCTGTTATTATTATTTTACTATAGTTATAAAACTAATTTTTTTCTAATATAGGTACATGTAAGGAGGCTTAAAGCGCTATTTGTATCTTTAAAATAAATAAAAGGGGTAAGAATCGGATCATAATTTAGGATAGAATAAAAAAAATGTTTTCTAAACTACCTCATTCTTGACTACTCACATCTCCAACAATTATTATTGCTGTTATTATTATTTTAATATGTTTATAAAACTAAATTTATTTCTAATATATGTATATATAAGAAGGCTTAAAGCCCTATTTGTACCTTTAAAATAACTAAAAGGGCTGGGAATTAGACCATGTCTTTGTACGATTTTTTGTTGCATTTTAGGTGTAAAGTTTGTCTACAAGTAGCCTGACACCCTGTATAAAATTTATATTTTCGTAATTAACCTTTGCCAGTTTATTAAATGGATAAACAAATAATAGTCGAAATGATTCGAAAATGATTTCGGGCGCCAGTGAATCTGTGGAGTGAACGAAACTGACAGCTGTCGCCGGAAGAGGGGGTGGAGTCGACACCGCGGCAACTGCAGTAGGAAGAGGGAAGAGGGAAGAGCCATTCAGTCTCGGGGCCACCGTCGTCAGTCGACATACTGTAATCTTCGCAGTTCAACCGTTCCGTGCTAGTATCAGATACCCGTATCATCTCGTATCGGCCGACTTTTCTTCCGGTTATCTTTTCTGTCGGCGGTTTCGATCCGGCTCTCTTGCCTTCGTCCGTGATGGGCTTGTGCTAAATCGACACGTAGGAATCGAGTAATGAGCTGACCATGTCTTCGCTCTCGCTTCCTCGGGTGCTCCAGCAAAGGAAGACCAGCCTGGAACTGGAACGTGAAAACTTCGAAAAGAACCAAGTAATTCTGACTTTATCGAATTTTAAGTGTCGGGAGTCGTCTCGAGGGGGAAAACGCCCTGCATCGAACCCCCCCGGCAATGATCGTCTAATAAAACATTTCTCTTAATAAGGATTTCCTTTGAAACGCGGTCCTGCTTTAGAAATGTACTCTCTCCCTGCCTTCCCGTCCGGTGTTGCGGAACGAAATCGATTTCCGGACCAAAATCTTGGCGCCGACCAATTTTTCACGTACCCAATGACTCAAAATGACCGAGCCCGCTTTTCTTTGCTTTCTCCCTGGACGAATCTGAGAAAAAAAACGTGATTTGCGGCTTGGTGGTCATTATTTAGTCATTTGACAATCCGATAGATGTTTCCCCAAGCGAACGATTCCACTTTTGTTTTTGTCCTAATGAATATATCCTCATTAAAAAAGAGATACAATTTTCTACTAATGAGTATTTATTAAATTGATTTACAAAACAAAAATTATTTTCAATTGTCTAAAGCTGAACTTTCCAAACTTTTTAGCCAGCGGATACCTTTTACAGAACAAAATCCAGGGCGGACCCCCTCTCCTTCAAATATTTAAAATTATATACTTATAATATGTATTAAATTAAAAGTTTTATAAATTAGCCAGTCCAATCTTAATATGTGATGGAGGGGAAAATCACTATGAAAACAAAACGTGATTGACATACTTAACTTTAAATACAAATTCCAGAACACAAAAATCAAATTGGACAGAATGGAATCAATAGTTATATAAAAGGCAGACAAGAATGGCACATCTACATGGAAAACAAACACTTTGAGCCCTGATGATGATCTCAATAAAGATTGAAACGTTGGCACGATAAAGAAAATGTATTTTTAAAACCTACGTCACATCAGAATGCATCTCATGATCTCCGAATAATAGTTATGTAAAACTCAAGCCAAATTCAAAAGTAATAATTTGAACATTAGTGATTAATGAATGAATAGGAAGAGTGAGGTTGTTTCAGCCTGCACAATTTGGATGGATATGTTGGTTTCAAGTTTTGATAGCTGGAAATGGATGTCCGGTTCATCGTTGGGACAGCTTCGGTATTTAGTTATGGTGGATGTACAGATAGAAAATCCGGATTCGCGTAGATAAGTTGTTGAACAAGAACATGTTTTGCTTTTTTCAACAAGTGAGTTGAAATTTTTTGTTCTCCAGTCAGAGTCAAAAATGAGGGTACCTTACTCGAAAATAGATTTCAGGATGGAGTCTGAAGTAAGGTCTATGAAACATTCGTATTTGCTTGAAGATAGACTGGTTGGCTTTGTCGAAATTGTTGAAAACGGTCTGACCATCCATTCATGGTCTTGCAGCAATGTATCTCGATCTATTGGATCTCTCCAAACTTCAAAGTTGTTCGCATATTTCATCAATCAACTGCAGTTTGTTTTCTTAAAAAAATCATTTAACATGGGAAAACACTACTTTTCTTTCAACGGATTCAACCCAAAACTGGATTTTTCTTTTGAAGTCATCAAACTTTGTCATTAGCATCGAAATCTGTGATACCATCCCATGCAAAGAAAGGCTCATCTCATTAATTTTAATGAAAATATAAATATGACAATATACATTGTCATTTCTCATCATTGAAAACATTGCCCAATTTGCCATTGTGATCCATCAACAGACTTCAAAACGTAATTCCTGTAATCGTGAAAGTGCTTTCGCACAAGTGAGCCACCTAACTTCTGTATGATGAAGCTGGGAATGATGAAGGATTCTCACACTGTCACATAATATTGTGAAAAGTCTTAACTTCAATGGTCGCGACTTGATATAATTAATAATTTAAACTGACTCATCCTCCTGATAAGACCAAGGTTTGACCTCGGACTGGGTGATTCTCAAGGCCTGCTTGTAATTTATTGTAAATTACAAAAGCTAGAATAACCGATGTACCACAAGAAATGATAGGATCAACTCTTTACTTTGAGAAGAGATTAACTGGATTTGAATCCAGTTTATGTAAATAAGTAATCAGTAATAATCTATTGACTTATTTATTTGATAATTTGAAAATTTAATCTCCTATTGTTTTCCAATATATTTCTTCCTGGTTCAAATTTAACGTTTTGCTTCAAACAAAAATCATGTTTTCATGTCCATTAATTAAATTAGGAATAGAACTGTAAAAAACTCATAGTTTTCAATGCATATATTTTTTTAAATGTGATTTTATTTGTATCATGAGTTGTGCAAATGTTTACTCTTTAGACTAGGGCTTTCCAAACTGTGGTCAGTCATCCATCTCCAGCTATCAAAAATTAAAACCAACATATCCAAATTGTGCAGGCTAAAACAACCTCACTCTAATTATTAATTCATTAATCATTAATGTTCAAATTATTACTTTTGAAATGAGCTCGGGTTTTAGATACCTATTGATTCATTCTGTCCATTTGATTTTTGTATTTTGGAATTTGTATTTAAAGTTAAGTATGTCAAACTAATGTTTTGATTTAGGATTAGATAATAGGAATTAGGAATAGATGGGCCGATTTATAAAACTTTAGTTTACCACACACTATAACTATCTCATTTTAAATACTTGAATGAGTGAGGGTCCACCCTGGATTTTGTTCTGTTCAACCTTTGCTGTGTCTGCAAGCTAAAAAGTTTGGTAGTCCTGTGTACCTGATATTCCTCGATCGCCCTTTACTCTTTATTACATAACTAATATAATAGAAGATGGATGATGTACTCAGTATTCAGCCATCAGCCCTCTCTCACTATATATGCCAATAAAAATATTCACTCTCATATGCTAGGGGCACAAAACTGTTAGTACTATAAACAACAATAAAACAACCCTGTTTCCTACAAGAATTGGAACAGGGAACCCAGATACCGCTTTCCTCAAGCACAACTCCCCTATTGGGTGGCATACCTACACGCTCTTTATATAGAACCAAGGATCTGCACCATTCAAATAGATGGGACACATCAATCAACCTTTCTTTACATGCTGGACATGTATGCAGGTTGCAGGCCAAAGTTTGAGTGCATAGAGGAAATGAAAAAGTGGACATTGGCCACAAAAGGAGCCAATATGAATTCTCTAGGCTACAAAAAAGTATACATCCAAAATTAAATTCTTAAACCAAAACTTAGTGGATCAAACCCCTAGGTATGAAACACGTGAAGAAATTAATAAAAGGGCTATCCGCAAGACTTACAAAAGAATTACTAGAGAGTAACTGCAAAGAACCAGGATTCTGAGTGACTCCTGACAGGGCACTGCTACCTGAGAAGACATATGCACTGGATGGGAATATTGACAGAAGAAACACTGCATGTACTGCCAGGAAGAAGAGGAACCAGCAGAACAGTATATTTTAGTGAGGGTTTAGTTAGGGGTAGATTCTTGCAACTAGAAGGGGAAAAGTCAAAAGCAAGACTATTCTATGGAGCCGCTGGCAAGATTGATTAACAACCTGAAGCTGGCCAGTGAGTTATAAAAATAGAGGAGCACAATAGATCTACTCAAGTAGGTGATGCAGATATTGTGGCCTTTTAGCCATAGCATTGAAGACTTCTTTTATCCCTATTCCTATCCCTAGGGACACAAAACTAGTATTAGAGAGAGATACCAGTATAGAATAACCCTGTGTCCTCTAAAAAAATTGGGATCCAAATATTTGCTGCCATGGTTAGTACGACTGTCATATCGGGTGGCATTCCAACTGTACAGAGCCAAGGAATTGTACCCTTCGATTAAATGGGACACATCGGGCAACCTTTCTCTGCATGCTGATTATGTATGCAAGTTTTGGCTCAAAAATAAGTGTCTGTCAACCTAACGGCTTATTCTTAATCGGGTAACCCTTCTTCTAGGAGTTGATCCTATGAGGGCCACCCATATATAAGAGCTTCTCTGCCATTCTAGCCCACCGATGCTGCCACTTTCTTTCAATCGTGTTTTTTAATGCATTTTTAGTATCAGAGGGTCGGATCCCAGTTGTTAAGTCTGGAGGTTGGGACATCCCGGCCTTAGTTGCCTCGTGCACGTTTGTATTACCCTCCAAACCCACTAGATTATTATAGTTCTAACTAGTTTTAATTCATATATATGATTTAATGAAGCATAATGAGTGCATCATTTTGGCATCCTTGCTTGTTTTGACCAAATGTAGGTTGATCAGAGTGCGGGCACCAAGAAGATATCTCATAATAATTGCATTATTGTGCATACATTTGTATACATATTAGATGTTGAAAGTCATTTATCATAATTTTGGTTTATTCTCAATATAGTTGAAAAGGATGGTTCTACTCACAAACTGGTTTTGCAGTAATCCAAATTTAGAGCAGTAAATACTAATAATTAAACTATGCGAATTACCTACAAGTGTGATACAGACAATGACTGATAATCACCATTAAAGTCACTGTCAATAATCTGCATGGATATTTGTAGATAAGTTGCATAGTCTGATGAGTATTTACTGCTCGAAACTGGACCAGAGCAAAATAAATTTGTGATTAGAACAGTCATTTTAACTATTGAATTGATATACTTGCCATTTTTTAAATTAAATTGCCTATCCTCACTGTTTTTGGCTTTTCACCATCTTTAGCGGTGATTTTATTTGATTTATTTTAGTCTCAACCGGCCTTCATGATGATACTATCTTCAACGGTGGATTTATAATACAAATTTTTTAAATTTTGTGCCTTGAAGAATTGCCCTTTATTTTATTTAAATTTATTGGAAGCTGACAAATTTATTATAATGTTAAAATGATCTGTTCATCGCTGAAGATGGCAAACAGCCAAAAGGCACCTGACAGATCAAAACAGCAACAACAGGTTGAAAAAAATTATCGGAAATGGCCAAACTTTACCGCCTCACAGGCCGCAAGAAATTTTACAATTTAAAAACAAATAGTTGAAAATTTTGCTTCAAACTTCATTTAAAATTATTGCTGGCTGTATACAATCTGTTTTATAAATTAAGACCGCAGTTTATCAAAATTTACACATAAGTTGTAAAGATACGAAAGATGAATGTAGTTTTGTAACAATAAAAAAACAATTTCAGTCCTTGTTTTCTTTAGAAGAGCATCCAAAATAGAGTAAATTTGTTTACTTTAAAAATGCCATAATAATCATTTTATAAAGAAGTGTTTAGTTCAACTTTTGATTTATGTACATCTAATGTTTACAATTTTCCAAGAATTGCGACCAAGCAATTAAAAACAAAAAGGAAAGAAGAGAAAGACAATGTCAATAAATAAATTATGCTTTGTATACAAAATGATTGCACAACTGCTTTTAATAGAAGTTTTTTACTGTTTCATAATTTCATTCAGATAGTATTGAAAAATTTACAGCCAAAAACAAACATTTAAGAGATAAAAATAAATATAATGTTTTCTTGTTTTTCCCCTCTGTATTTTGACGTCTAGAAATAAATTTTAAATATTATTTACATTTTAAAACTCACAATGCTGTACAGATTTTCTGCTCGTTATGCCAACAGTCCATATTGAATATGTGAATATTACTTTAAAACAGCAGCTAAGAGTCTAAATTGGTTTTTACATTAATCTAAATTTGTCAACTGTTGCACTTCAGATAGCATATCATCGATATATTGTTATCACTCCAAACTTCATTTTTCGGTTTGTGATTGAAAATTGGTTTTGGTATTTAGGTTAGTCTTTTTTTCTTCCATGATGTTTGCATTTACGGATAAAGATTACATGAAGTTGGTAAAGTTTTTTTTATTTTGTAATTTATTTTTCTTGCTTTCTACCTTTAAACTAAATATTGTTTTGTACTTTAAGGAATATTTATTCTTAATGTAATTATGTACTGACTAAAGCTTAGTATAATTAATAATTAACAGTAAACGCTTTGGACAATTCCAAGGTGATTTGGAAAATATCAGTAACACATAAGCATTTATTTTAATTTTTAACTTAAAACATTTAAGTATTTTTGTTTTCTTTTTCAGAGTGTTAGTATCAGCAAGGCGATTAATAATGCTGAAAATCCAGTAAAAGAAAAGCACGTTCGAAGTATCCTTTATTTTTATTGATTACTGGCTAATCCATTTAGATTAGATTAATGATTTAATTGATAGTTATTTAATAAAAATATTCAGTTTCAAGTATTGAATGAAATAAAGTTCTCTTAAAAAGTTAATTAAATTTTGGTTGTTGCTTATAACTAAAGACCAGATTCCTGTGCAATTTTTTTTATTGCTAACTCCGATTACGATGAAGCCAAGACAAAATTCAATAGAATAGAAATTTTTTGTCACTTTTCTTACTTTGTATGAAATTGTCCACTTTTTATGGTTTACTGGACAAAATTTTATTTTTTCCAAATTTTTTATGTTTCTCAATGTGAAAATACATATAATTTTTATGGGTTAACAGTAGTGAGTAAACTAATTGAGGGTAAAATCGTTTTTATAATACCATCTATTAAATTTTTTCAACTTCTGGTACCTAGAATTTAGAATCCAAAATTTAGAAAAATGCTGATCCGTTTTCATCACTTACTTCAAAACAGAACAACGGTAAGAAAAAGGGGGAAAAAATTGTGTGCTATGGCTACAGGGCTACTACTCGTAACCGAAGACCATTGGCAAAATTATTTTTGGGTGGGTCTTTTTTCTGTTGAAACACTTTCTAGATGTGATGTTAAATTACAATAACATCATTTGTTGTACTATATTGTGGTTAATTTTTTACTTTTTAAAATTTATTGCATGTTAATTTGTTAATTGCTGGAGGTTTATGGACCGAAAAACCTCTGCGTGTTTTCTTTTTTTTATCTGGTCTTTCACTATTTTGTTTTTTCCAACCAATATAATCAGAAATCTGGTCATATTCACTCACCCCATAGTAGTCAATATTCCTCGGGGCAGTGTTAAGCAACCATTTCCTTTCATGCTAATAAATTACACTCATACATATAAATTCATAGGGTGAATCATAAAAAAATTATCGTTTTTCAAGCTAATTTAAAAATAATTTAATTTTGACAAAATTTTTTTTTTAATTTTCAAATTAAGGGTGAATCATAAAAATATATCGTTTTACAAGCTAATTTAAAAATAATTTAATTTTGACAAAAATTTTTTTTTTAAATTTTCAAATTAAGGGTGAATCATAAAAATATATCGTTTTTCAAGCTAATTTAAAAATAATTTAATTTTGACAAAAAAAATTCAAATTTTCAAATTAAGGGTGAATAATAAAAATATATCGTTTTTCAAGCTAATTTAAAAATAATTTAATTTTGACAAAAAAATTTAATTTTCAAATTAAAATTTGAAATTGTGTTGTGGTTTTTGTTGGGATAACTATTGGGTTTTATGTTTTGTTGCCATGTAGAGCCAGGTGATGGATTCCTTTTCAATACCAATGGTCGTCGAAAGGTGCTAATTCTGGACTGTAAGCAGGGTGAGGGAGAAGCTCAATTCCGTCCAATTCTGCAATTTTTTGTTTCATGTAACGAGAAGTCCGTGGTTAGGTTTATCTTGTTGAAACAAATCCCGATTTCTATTTATTAATTCTGGGTAACGCTTGGTCAAAACCTCATATATTTTTTGAAACTGCTGCAAAATAAAGTGTTGAATCAATGGTTCAATCTTCTGGAAGGAACTCATAATGAATTATGCCTTCGTAATTCCAAAATACAAAGAGCATTGCCTTTTTGTCGAATCGCCCTTGTTTAGACTGGTAGAGCAGGCTGATTGCAATCTAGCCATTGTTTCTTTGTCTTGGGGTTACTCCAATATATCCGCTTTTCATCACAAGTAACCATTCTTCTGATGAAACGAAAGTCATTTGGGTTTTTTCTAAAATAATTAAATTTCTACTTGGCGTCGTGTCTGTTTAATGAGGAACCATTCTTAATGAGCGATTCACTTTCCCCAAGTTGTGCATTCTATGATTTATGGTGGATTGGGAAACTCCAAGCCCTTTTGCCAATTCTCGACTACTTTTCATTGGGTCTGCCTCAACAGAGTACAACAGGTTCCTCATCTTATGATGATTTTTGTCCAGAACCCTCTTCTCTCTCAAGGCTGATGTCACTGGCTTCAGATTTCTTGAACATAACTCTGAACCATCAGCACAAAGTCCGATCAGAGGGAGCATCCTTTTTAAAATTGCCACACCAAATGGGTTGTGTCAGTGGTGGAAAACTTACTTTTCCAATAATGGCATAATATTAACAAAATTTTTAAATTTTACCAACTCTAAGACAAAACCGAAGGGAGACAAGATCTATTTTTACACATTCATTTCTAAGTGATCACGGATTAAAGTGGTATCAAATCTAATTGGATTTAAAAACCAAATAAAGCTTATAGGGCTTAATTTCAATTTTCAAGAAAATGAAATCAGTCATTTTTTATCATTCATCCTATTAACATAAACATAAGACAACTGTATACATTGCCCTGAAGTATTGGAACAGTGATCTGTGCCCCCTACTTTGCCCCAAGAATATGCACAGTTCCGATGATATGCCAAAATATTGTCAGTCCTTCCACAATTGAATGAAAAGGTGATTGACCTTTATTTTATTCTTGCATAACAGGCATTTTGTGATCAGTGTCCTTCCAGAAGGGACCCGTGCGTTATTCTTGTAAGGCCTATGCGAAGTCTTGTTAAAATGGGCTTTTTCTTTTTTGACCCATCAGAGGATCCGTCTTTCTTAACCTCCCATAGTTTGGCAGGATTATTTCTGTTTTTATGATCCCAGCAGTAAATAATTCATAATTTATATACTTGAAAATTTACTTTATTTTTGTTATCGTATATATTTTTAATTTAATTGTGTATATATTGAGTTTAGAAAGGAGTATAATTGATTGATTATAAAATAAACAATGTTTAGACAATAGGTAAATAAAATGTTAGAATTTTTACCTTTATTACACTTTTTTGCAAGTTTTCAGTATTTATTTATTTTTTAAACACAATTTTTCAGATTTTTATTGCATGTTTTGAAAGTTTTTGGTGTATGAAAATCCAGTATTTACTTACTACAATAGAAAGCAGTAATTTTATATATTTTTTTCCATTTCTTATGGTTTGTATAAACGTTAAATTCCTATTTTCCTAAACCAAACTTAAAGGCGCAATACTTGGGACATTCCATGAAAAATGTGCAGAAACGTTCTGGGCTGTTGTTTTACGCCTGCCTTTACAGGATAATCGGATAGCCGCTTGGAAATTTTGTCATGTGTTGCATAAAATTTTAAGAGAGGGCCATCCTCAGTCCCTCCAGGACAGTACCAGGCATATATCTCGGATTGAGGATCTAGGAAAATTATGGGTAGGTATTATTAATAGGGTGATCAATTTTATTTTCTGACAATGGTATTTTTCCCCCAGGGGCATTTAAGGGACTGCTATGGCAAGTTGATTCAGGAATATTGTAATCTTCTCATAGTCAAAATTAACTTTCATAGAAGAAATCCTAGAATACCAGGAAATCTGATTTTATCCTCTGAAGAATTGGAAGCGATAGGGGAAAATGATGTTAACAACTATTTCCAGCTTTGCGTGGAAATGTTTGACTACATGGATGAAATCTTAAAACTACAACATTCAAGTAAGATTTTTATAATATTACGTAATATATAATTATTCTTATTAGTTACTTTAACCAATTATCAACTTTTGTAGTATACTTTTTAGAATATTAATCATTAATCAATGTAGATTAAGATAAAAATTAGAGTCACAAGCCAATGACTTTCAGATTTGTCTCCCTGTGCTCTTCCATCTGAACTATCGTGACATTGGTCCTCGAGACACCACTGCACAATAGACCAATATTGGTCACGGTACACAGGTCGTAAAAATGCCGGCTCCTACATAATCTCCCCGAGACACCAACTGATTATTCCAACCAATAAATTTTTCCCTTTTCCTTCACCAATATTCGAACATTATAGCATCATATAGCTGCTCGATGATGTACAAAGAATTAGCAACGGGGAGTATCATCGATGTTGGGGCACATTACATGAATATTGGCAAAAAAGAGGGAAAATTTAAATAGTTGTTGAGATGATGAGTTGGCATATCGGGGACCAAAGTCACGATAGCGCAGGTGGTAGAGCACCGGAGTACCAATTCGGAAGTTGAGGTTCGAGTCCCGCTTATGATATTTCTTTTTCATTCCAGCCTACTTTGCATAAAAATATATAATATTAATAATTTGTTTTCAATGTCAGTTTTTGGTTCGTTGGATATGTCCCGTTCGAATTCGATGACAAGCTGTGGTCAGTGCAGACTGGCACCGTTAATCCCAATGATTCAAGACTCGTCACAACTGTATGACTGTTGCGTCAAATTGTTATTCAAGCTCCATGCGTCCCTTCCGCAAGACTTGCTCACTGGCCACAGAACCCGATTCTTAGAGCAGTTCACAAAATTAAGCACATTTTATTTAGCCGCCTCGAGTCTTCAGTACTTCAAATATCTTATTCAGATACCAACACTTCCCAATGTAAGTAAAATCATTTATTTTGATAACCTGCCCAACAACATTACTTTCTTTTTATTCCATCTAGAATCCACCAAATTTTCTAATACAAGCTGAGCTAGGCTCATATGTGACGCCGGTGGTCATTTTACCTCCTGAAGAAGACGTATCTCTGGCAGGAACACCAGACACTCAATCAACAACTGGAGAACTTGTAGATCTCAACTCACCAGTTACAAATGGAAACACCTCACCAGATATAATCGCTGAAAGGTAAATTTGCTCTTAAGCCTTATGTTGCAAACTAGATTATAACATTTAAACCTTGATTCCATCATAGTTCCTTTTTTTCTTTTTAACGTTGCTCAATTTCTACACTAGTATTTCCAAAAAAAATTATGTCATTAATTATGGAATATGTGTGGCAGGTATATTTTTTAACATAACAATCATAAAAAAAAATTATAGAATTACATATCTTGCAATTAGTTTAACATTTAACTCCCTTATTAAAACCTAATACTACAAATTTATTACATTTTCTATAAAATATTTTTTTATATATTAGGGATAGTTTAATAGAACACCTACAAAATGAGCTAAGTAGGTGTAGAAGTGAAATGGCTAAGTTGATGAGTGAACACAGAAAAACGATAAAAGAATTAAATGAAAGGATTAATTATCTAGAAACCGATTTGGCAAAGAAGGTGAATAGATGTTACAATTGATTATACGACAATTCCCTTGTTTTGACTCTTATGTTTTTATTTTTCACACAGGATAATGAACTTGTACAAGAGAGATTGCTAAAAGAGGAACTTATGCAACATTCAGAAGATTCAATCAAGCTCCAAGAAGCAGAAAGTAAGCTGTAATTTTTACTTTTATATAAAATGGAAATTATATAATTAGTAAACATTTGTAAATAGTTGATTAATGCAAAGGGCTTTTAAGGGTGGGATTTTACTTATTTTCCATTAATTTCTTGTCCAACTGAACATTTTGATAAATGGATTCACTCTTTCTCTATTCGTGTCCTCGTCACTTAAAAGAGATTGTACTTCCTCTCAACGTGACTCAGAGCAAACATTAAAAAAATTGATCCTGAGCTTGGAGTCACAGATATCATCTCTAAAACTTCTGCCTGCAAGCTCGGTTCACACAGGGGCGATCGGTATACGTGATACCGATATGTAAAATAATATTAATAATAATTAATATTATTATCTTTCAGTAACACACCCTACCGGATACATTCTGTTATGATTATTGTTTAAACTTCGATCCCATCCAGCATTTTTCATTCAACCGGTCAATTTTTATTTTACAAAGCGAGTTCTAATTGATTTATTTCTACCCGCCCCCTTCAAATTTATCTTAGCTCATGTTTTCGAACATTCAATTGTTATTTTTCAACTCTACTAGAACGTTATTTAAAAACCTGGATATATCAACGTAAAGCATATTAGATGAAGAAGTTTTTGCGAAATTTGACAAGTTGTAGGTATTTTTTTGTAACCTCAGTAGAACGTGCAATCATGACCAAAATTTTAAATTTTGTAATTTTGACATGTTCCAACATTGGCTAACATTTTATGTCATTCAGATGATTGCAAATAGAAGTATGTTACAAATTTAGCATTCTTTCAAATGGTGTAATTGGATTTGTTGTAGTCTCAACATTGTGGAAGTTGTAAGCGTTTTTATGTGGTAAGGTAGTGAAAAGTTGAAGAAACCTAAATTGACGAATATCTTAAAAATAGAGAACTTTCCGAAAATTTTCTCCTCGGCATTTTTTGCTCCAAATGAAGAGTAGAATCGATTCCCTGAGTTTCGCCATAAGGGACTGGGACACCCTGTATATGTAAGTGTGATAATAAGGTGACCACACTACTGAGTTAAACTCTCAGATTGGCCTTATCAGAATAAAAAACAATATTTTTAGGCAAAATATACTGTTAAAATCCTGTGTATTTCTTTTCAAGAAACCAAGTAGTTTCAAAGATGTATTAACAATAGATTCAATATGCAGGCTAAAAGAAACGAGAGAAATCAAAAATTACACCTAGATCTTTGATATTGTTTAAAGCTATTAGTTCTATATCACAGATATTTATATTTAAATTGTAATGGAATAAGTTTCTTATGATAATGGACAACATTGCATTTATCAATATTTAGAATCTTATAATTTAGATCACACCATCTGACTAGATTAGTTATGCCTTGTAACATTTCACAGTTTTCAATAGATTTTATTATTTTAAATACTTTGCGATCATCCGCGAACAACTTAAATTGACTATTTGTAAAACACTTAACAATATCATTAATAAATATATTAAATAACAAAGGCGACATGTGTCCACCTTGTGGAACACCAGAGATAACAAATATTGGTTCTGATTCCATATTATCTATCTTTACAATTTGAGTTCTGTTAATCAGAAAATCTCTCGACAATTCCAGCAGGCCACCATGAATACCAATCGCTTCTAGCTTAGAGCAGAGAAGTTCATGGTTAACTTTATCAAAAGCTTTGCTGAAGTAAATAGATTTGTTAAAGTGAATTTATATTTCACAAACCCATGTTGGTTTTCATCAATTAAACAATTGAACATAGGTGTAATTTTTTTACATAATATTTGTTCAAAAACCTTTGGAATAACTGATAATTTATTTATAGGTCTATAATTTGTATTAAAGCTCTATCGCCTTTTTTAAATATTGGCACAATGTGACTAGTTTTCCAAATGATAGGAAATATTCCTGTTTCTAATGATATTATAAGTAATGTGTTAGTTTCATTTGACTCTAGAAGTTTTTTTTAAAGTTGTTTTTCTTTCAGCTATTTCAACTTAAATTTATATTATGTCATTATTTTTACTGATGGAAAATACTTTCAAAAATACAGTGAAAAGTTCTTTAATAAAAGAATTTTTTATATGCGTAGTTTACTATTTGTTTTGCCAATGGAGTATGATAGTGGTGGTGCAATGAAAAGTGAATCATGCATGCTGCCGGAATAGGTGATTAATATTTTGATGCACCAATACTGATTTCCCTATGGTGCGATGAAAAATGAATTACCCATATCTATAATTAAAAAGTTAATCCATATATGTGTTTAGCAGTCATAATTGGCTGCAATAATTACATTAATTAATTATACTTTTAATCTAAGGTCTTGGTTGAGATGAACCGATAGCAAGTGTCATTAGCAGGATTTGAACCTCGATTGAAAACATGGCAAACAGAGAAAAAGTCGAAAGTTGTAGGTTGATGAGTTGGTGCCCGCGTAGATAGAAGTCACGAAGCTCGAGTGGTTAGAACAGCAGTGTATTGAGCCGAAGGTCATGGGTTTGAATTCCACTCGTGACACTTCACCTCAACCAAGACCTCAAGTTAAAAGTGTAATTCATTAACATAATTACAAGCTTCATTTTGCAATTCCTAGTAATGCTTATTATACTTTGTACCATTTTGTTGTATTTCTCAATCTTAATAAAGTATTATGACTATTATTGACTATTAATGACTATTTCGTTGAATTGTAGTGTCTCGTTATTGATTATTTTTAATTTTGTCATGATTTTTATAGAGAGGGCGAAAATTATGGAGGAAAAATTTCAGAAGATTAAAGACATTTACGCTCAACTTCGAGAAGAACATATTCAACTTTTGAGGCAGGTAAAGCAAAAACTTAGAAAATAACCACCTTTTCATGTGTTTGTGAATAATGTTTTGATGTATAAATGTTTTAGACCTATTTGATGATAACTAAATAGTAGCAGTTCATTTATGCTCTAGTTATTGTAAAATGATTTGCTGAGTGAATTATGTATTTTTCCCTCCAAAAATTACCAAAGTTGATAGAATTTACATTTTTGAAACTGTGATACATATATTTTAATCAATTTATATATTTAGTTTTTTTTAATAAGTAAAAATTAGATATCATTAATTTAATTGAGAACTTTTTCTGTTAAAACAAGAAAATAAGCAATGTTAAAGATCCTATCAGTTATATAGAAATTTTAATCCCTTTTAAAAAATAATTCTCGTCCTAGAAAGCAGGCGTGGACAAAGCACTCAAGGGTTCAGATAAAATGACAAAATTTGCCAGATCTGCCAACAACTTCATTATTAAAATTGTAAGCCCCTGAATTTCATTAATGCGTTCGTTGCGGGAATGCAAAGGGTTGCATGGAATGAGGGAAAATGTGTTGAGGCCGGAACACAAGAATGCACTCTGCTATTTATGGAATGAATTGTAAAACATCACTATATTTAATCTACTTCGTGGATCTATTTTGTGTAAATAAAATATTTTGGTTAGAGGAGACAACTCGCTTGGTGATGGACGATACCAAGATATCATGTAAATATATTTCCTAAATGATTGTGGGTACTTTGTGTAGTTTATTTTTCTATTAAAATTATGTACATAATCCGATATAGCAGTGGGGAGTTGTGGGCCTCAGCTTTAATACTCTGTTTAGGAGGTTGTTAATAAATAAATAAATTTATTGCGACCTGATATCAACCTCCTAAACATAGTATTATGTACATAATGATTCAATTCACAAAATAGGAAATTTTTATTGTTCAAGGCATACTGATCAGTAGAATCTTCCAAGTTTAACATTCATTTTGGCACATGCACAATGCTGGATGGATTCAAAACTGAATTGAAACTGGTAATTTTAGTTTGTAAAAGGTGGATACAGGAGTCCCTCAGGGTAGCGTCCTTGGCCCACTATTGCATTCTGTATATACTGGTGATATCCCATCGTACACTAAACCACTATCCTAGCATAAATTGATGACACTGCCATTCTCTCCTCCAACTCCCTGTCATAGCGCACCCAACCATCCATATTCTATTGAATAAGGGTTCAAAAAATGTGAATCAAACTAAAAGATGGAGTCCCAAAATAACCTTTACCCCCACTGCATCACTCTACCCTCAATCTATTATAACCTGACTCCCCTTCTCACCAAAAAAAGTCATCCGCTGCCTAGGCTTGTGTCTCAACAAACTACTCACCTAGAATCCCATAAATAACTTAAAACATGATCACTTAACACATTCGTTAAAGACTCTCCTGAGTAACTTCACAAATTTTAATTAAAATCTAAAATGTAAAAACATTCCAAAAGGTCAAATCAAAAAATGGTCTTCAACAGTATTTTTGCCAAAGCGATGCTTAAGAGTAAAGACCTGTGACACCAATTCAATTAAAAAAAATAACCCCACCACACCCTACAACAAGCTTTGAAAGTGGGGTTTGCAGAAGAGGTGCGTCATTCTGGAAAGATGTCCTATACGGGAAAGGGTTTAGTGCATCGTTCCAAAATGATGGCCGTAACAAATTTGTCAATAGACTACTAAGAACATCAGATCTAAACTCTCCCTTGACAACAAATTACTCATATACAACTAGATATTGAAGCCAACAGGACATTTGGCGTAGAACTATGGGGTTCAGCCAAACCTACTTACCTCCGCAGAATCCAGACCTTACAATTATATATCCTTAGATCCATTGTTAACTGTTTCCAATCTTACCAACCCTTAGGGGTTAGGGATAAAAGAGGCGGCCACAAAGCCATGTACACCTCGAACTGAGTAGAACTATTGCACGCCCCTGTTATTTACAACTCACTAGCCAGCTTCAGGTTATTAATCAACCTTGCCAGCGGCTCCTTATTGTAGGCTCTTGCTTGTGGCTTTTCTTCCAAGAATCTGCGCCTGCAACATAGACCCTCACAAAAAAATTAAATGTGTTTTGTTGTTGCTTCATCCTGGCAGTATATGCATTGTATTTTTTCTGTCAGTATACCTAACAGGTGCATGTACCTTCTTAAGTGGTTTTAAATTAATTTAAAATAATTTTAATTAAATCCTGATTCGTTGCGGTTGCTTTCCAGTAATTCTTTTGTAAGTTTTGCGGACGGCCCTTCTATGAATCTCTTCGCATGACTCATGCCTGTGGTATTGCTCGACAAGGTTTTGGACTCATTAAGGATCCATTTTAAGATGTATCCTCTTTTGTTGCAATATGCTAGACCACAGTAGGGTTTGGGGCTTAAAGAGTGCATGTTGGCTCCCTCTTTGGCCAACATGTCAACCTTTCTTCTATGCCCTAAATGCCCGGGGACCCATGACGGGGTCAGGTCATTGATGTTGCTGACTTCCGCCAGGGCCTCCATGCAATTTCAAACACTCTTGGCGTTCACTTCACATGAGGCACACAACTTTTAATGCTGTCTGGATGCCAGAGAAGATGGCTATCTTCCAGGAATGTATTCCTAGCCTTTTTATTTCCCTGGTGCAGTGTTTCATCACTGATTTCAGAGTGGAAAACAGCATATTTTCTTAAGTTTGAAATTAGTTCAGTCTTTGGATTCATCTCAAAGACGCCCTCTCACCCTCGATAACAACCTTTTGTTCCCTATTTAAATAAAATTATAAAATCCATGTACAAAAAATTCCACACTAACATTCAGTCCCATTCTAATCCCCATGTACAACAACTTTCTTCCTCTTCTTTACAATCCTCTTTGATGTCTAAAAAGACAGTGGCCCTGAGACCTGCTCTCAGAGAGGGTGTGATTAAGGGATGATTTCTGATTTAGGAGTGCTATCACTGTACAGCTCCTCCACTCGATGTCTTTTTGTTTTTAATTTTATTTTGTATTGTCTTGTTATTTAAATAAGTTGTGCCTTGCCTGATTACTCATTAACAAAATAAAATAAAAAATATTGCAAAAACAACTTATTAATTATGTGGGTACGGTTTTATTTAATTTAAAGAGTTCGAAGATTGTTTGAATCTAGACGTTTCATGCACCAAAATTCATCCAAGTCAGTGAAATTAAATTTATTTTCAAGAAGTAAAGCGACTCTTGACATACAGGAGGGCTTAACATCCAACTACCTGGTTTGCACCGAGGACAAAGTCTCAGATCACTTTACACTTTTTTCAAGCTACAGTAGGGTCGCGATAATCCGAACGGAATTGGGGAAAGGGGTTTGTTCAGATTATCGAATAGTTTGGATTAACTGCAGGTTTTTAATACTACAACAATTATGTATTGCACGTTTCATTAAACGTGCAAACTTATAATTATTATGTAGGTAAATACAAACAACATATTGTAACTTCAAGTTTTAATTATTTATGAATGTGTAAAAAAGTCAGTAATTTTCTTCTGAACCTGGTTTCCAAGTGCTGATCGAAAGCTGTTTCTCTTATGCGTCTCAGCAGCATGATTTCCTCTTGCTCTTCAAGTTTTTCTTGGCCCAACTAATGGCTGTGTTTAGAGATTTAATAGTTTCAGCAGCAGATGTTGGAGGGGGACATTTATTATTGACTTCCTCTTCTGCTTCTTTATTAGTAGTAACACGCATAATTTTTTCTCAGTTAAAATTTCTTGATTTGTTATTTTGTCATCACAACCACCCGATGCCCATTGTTGAACCTCGGATTCAGTTACGGTCGTTTTAGATGGAGGAGTATCGTCAACAACAACCGAGTTCGGGCTAAGATTTTAACTAGACATTTGAATCAGACATGGTGAGACAGTTGACCAACAATTTTCTACATTGAAATTAACATCTATCAGATTAATTTTCAATGATTAATTACATTTTTTGATAGTGTAATTTTGTGTTCTGGTTTATGGGTTGAATCACCTCGGTGGGCTGTAAATATTATTGAGGGATACTACTGTGTGAGCCCATTCGGATTATTGTGTCCTTCAGATTAGCCTGTGTTTGGATTATTGTGACCCTGCTGTATTTTCAAAATTTCACTTCAAACTTCAAAAAAAAAAAAAAAAAAAAAATCAGACGGTCTGTTTATTTCTTAAAATGAAAATAAGGTAAATACTGATAGAAAAAATTAGATCAATGAGATTTTAATGTTGTACGTCTATGTGTTGAACTAGTAAAGTTATAACTGCATTTTGGTCATCACTGATCATTTCTATTTATTTTGTCTTAGAGCTGTTCAATTTTCAGATTTTTGTTGAATAATTTCCCAAATAAATGTGTCAAACGTTGAATCTCATACTGCCAAAATTCTAATTATCGAACAGCACACTTAATTGTCGTTATCATGAGCGTAGCGGGAAATTGAAATCTCAACTGTTTTTAGAAAGCAGATGTCGACAGGCAACTGTCCAGTCTGAAGAGTTTGGAATTGGATACTAACACCAAGACAAAACTAGAAGAGCTTGCGAACGAGCTAGCCACCCTACAGGCCTCGGCAGATGCCGCTGCAGAACAAAAACAAGTAAATTGTTTTATATTAAACTTAGATTCTAGTTATAAACTTATTATAAACTTTAATTTTCTTTTTAGGCATTAGAATACAAATTGGAATTTGTTACAAAAGAAAAATGTCATGCTGAAAGTGAATTGCATGATTTGTTAAGTCAAAAACGAGAACTTGAGGTTAACTTAAATACTGTTAATAACAAAGTCAAGGAAAAAGAAGATAATTTAAACAAACAATTTGGTACGTTTCTGTAATTAAAAAGGGCTTAGATAAAAAAAAAGTTGGTTTTTAAATTCTACTAAATTTTTATCAATTTTGGTATTAACTCAACCTTCTTTACTACTGCTTATCTCCTTTTCATAAAAACATTTTGTACATCGGAATCTAGACCGTCATTTTTTAAAACTCATCTTTATAATTATTAATATCTTTTGTATAATAATTTACAAAACATGTTATAGAAAAAATTGTCGGCGAATCAGAAGAAATAGTTAAAAATGCGATCCACGAAGTAGACAACCCTGCTTTTTCTTCCTCGACCTGTTCAATCGGTTTGTTATTATTAATATATCGAAAAAGTAGAGGTGATGACTGATGTCGGTTACTCTCTAGATTATTTGACAAGTCTTTCCTCTGGCCTGGACTCCACCATGTCCTCAATCGACAACGAAATAACGCCGGATGTTGTGATAAGGTTGGCCCACAGGACTGCAGAATTCGTCTTATTGGGGAAAGCGACTTCTAACATATCTCCCGACATTGAATTTGGGGAACGTAAGTGATAAAAATTGTTATTATACTTAATTGTGTCTTAATTAATGAAGAAACTGGTTTACCAATTAAGTTAGTTAAAAATTTGGTAATTATCACACTTACTCCTTTATTATTTTAAAATTTGTTTTACTCTTTTACTTCATTTTTTCTCTATATTTAAACTTCTATATTAAGGAGCATCAGTGACCGCAATGGTCTAGGAAGGTCCTGGGTTCAAATCCAGCGGCCCTGCATTTGAACCTGCTTTTTTTTTTTCCCCCAAAAACACCAGCACCCCGAGGGTTCATATCACCCCGTAGTTGAAATACACTCGTTAAAAAAAATCACATTTAATGGTTTCTGATAGTTGTATTGATTCAATAGGTATTGGAGAAGTTTGTAAACAAGTCGGAGAAGCTTGCCTTGTTTGCTTGAAGGAAATCCGTAATGGTCCCGTTTCGACTAAGGACATGAAGGAGAAAATGATGGAGTTGCTCTCGATGGTGAGTAAACTTCAGTCCAACCTACAGGCGAGTTCCACATCCGTCGGAGACCTTGTGGAATCTGAACTTGCGGCCATGGACAAGGCAATTGAAGAGGCGGCCAAAAAAATTGAAGAGATGCTCTCTAACTCTCGTGCAGCGGATTCTGGTATTAAATTGGAAGTCAACGAAAAGATTCTGGATTCGTGCACCGGTCTCATGCAAGCGATAAGAATTCTCGTTCAGAAATCGAGAATCCTCCAAGCAGAGATAGTCGCTCAGGGAAAAGTAAACGAATTTGTCAATCTTTTAAAATTTGTTACTTATTGAAAAAATTTTAGGGTTCTGCCACGGCTAAAGAGTTTTACAAAAGAAATCATCAATGGACCGAAGGGCTCATTTCTGCAGCAAAAGCTGTAGGAATGGGAGCTACATATTTGCTGTAAGTTAAATTTAAACCTGGTTATATTTTATCAATTAAATAAATTTGACAATAATTTATATGCAAATGTAGTGAAGCGGCAGACGAGGTAGTAACGGGCGGTGGTAAAATTGAACTTGTCATGGCAGCAGCACAAGGAATTTCAGCAAGCACGGCACAGCTGGTTGTTGCAAGCCGAGTTAAAGCTGAACGTGGAAGCAAGAGTCTTGAACAGCTCACAGGCGCTTCCAGAGGAGTGACACAAGCTACAGCTGGTGTACTCACAAATGCTAAAGCTTGCGTTCAGCTCGTCGAACAGTCAGGTAATAACACCATAAATTCTTTGAGTTAAATATTGTTTAACTTCACAAAAAAATACGAATAAACAGGTTATTATAAAATTATAAGCTTTAGAAATTTAAAAATCTAGGAAAACCTGGCAGAGGTCTTACATGGTTAAAAAGGTCATGAAACTGTCATGTTTCACCCAAGTTACGGTGCTGGTAACACGGTGGAGAAGTTTGTGGGGCTATACCAATAAACAATGGGCGCCACACTCAACAACAAAATAATAAAGCTTGAATGAAAATTTTAAAAGCAAAATAAAATAAAATTCAGTTTTATTAACACCGTTCATTCAATACGTAAAACTTAAACCCTGTGGACCGACACAAATAAAAAAGATAATAAAAATAATCTTGCTAAAATAAACAAATCTTCACTTAAATCTTCAATTTAAAAATAAAAGTGGCCTGATTTTGACCGTTGCACTTGACGCTTGGGATCTTCTGTAACTCCTTAGCAATCTGTCTGGTTTTTCTCGGACTCCATCAAAGTCCTCTGGAGTGCTGCGACCCGATGAAAAACCACTCAAAAAGTCCGGAAAACAATTTTTTCTCATGCCCTATCTCCATCATCCCCTACCATTCTTCTCGCTACACTCTTTCACTTCTCAAATGACCCAAGCATTTTAGGACTTTGCCGTCATCGCCCAGCATTCTTAAGGGGTTCTATGCCTTGTCTGCAGGCAGATTATACCACCCCCACAATAAAGAAATTTTTTAGTTTAGTGACGTGACACAAAACATTGAGTGAATTTTTCCACTCAAATCTTTATCAATACCACCTCTTCTTGCCCTTAATTTTTTTTAACACAAATTTTACAAAGAATTTATTTGGTCCTTTAAGAGTAAAAACTCAATCGGTTTAACTTTCTGTTTCCCAGATGACTTGGACGTTTCGTCCCTGACATTGCACAACGCTAAGCGCCTCGAAATGGAGTCCCAGGTCAAGGTTTTGGAATTGGAGAACTCTCTTGCCAAGGAGAGATTGAGACTTTCTGCGTTGAGAAGGCATCATTATTCGCTTGCATCGGAGGGGGAACAGATATCGCCCACATGAGGTTCAATCACTATAAGTGGCTCAACCGTTCTCTTCAGGTCTTAGGGTCCACTACATCTTGAACAAAAAAAAAACTGACTTCAAGATCTTAGAGACTTTTTCATAAAGTATCGAGACATGATAATTTATTTACAAAAAATTAAATGTTATTTAATTTTAACGAAGCATTTTGGTTTAAAAAAACATTCAAAGTAATTATAAATATTATTTATTCTGGGATCTTGTATATTTGGAAAATCGCTACAATTTGCAAGATATAACATTTTTTCTTTTCTTTTTTTGGAAATGGTTTTGTAATCAATCACATCATAACAAAGTAAGTATCCATATTTTTTTTTTTCCGCAGCTGTCGTGATTTAATGAATTTATTGCATTTATCAAATTTAAAATTTAGTTTTGTGCAATTCATAATCAAATAATATTTTGTGGTATTAAATTAAAAGAAAAACAAATCTAAGCTGAATTAATAATGTAATTGTCGAGTGGTGCAATTGTTATCATAGATGTACTGTTTAGCTTTTATTAATCAATCGATGTGACAATTGCTAGTGATAGTTATTTAAACAAAAAGTATTTTTCATATATGTTGTAAATAAATAACTATTAATTTACTACTCAGTCATTTGCTGCCAAATATTTATTAATATCATTATCTATAATTTTCTCAGGACAATTTTTTGTTAAAAAAATTAAACAATGAATAATCAATTGTAATTATTATTATTTAATTTTAAACAATTACCAATATTGATAATATATTTTTTCAAAAAAAAAAAAAAATTAAAATTGGTTTTTAACCTTAATGAAATTTTTTTGCAAAATCCTTAAAATCCTTTTGCATTTATTTTGTATAATGAAAGTAAATGTCCAAATTTTAGTTTTCAATGATGATTTTTTTTATGATGATGCTGGTTGAAAAAAATGTTCAATGTATTTTTACTCGCTGTTTTCCACCCTATGAAAATATCCCTTCTGGGTTTATTGGTAAATCAATTAAGCTTATAAATTTCAAAATAAGCAAGATAAACACAACAAATTTTGAAGTGTTAATTAGACGTTAAGTGTAAATAAAAGCCTGCACAATGTGAGAACTGCTGCTGGCTTATGCTTGGTCAAAAATAATAATATGCTTACCTGAACAAATTAAATTAATTCAAGTACAACATAACCAGAAATGTTCACAACCTAATTAACATTTTTATTTTCATAGGAGGAAAATATGTTTACTTCACTTAATACCAAGAGGATAATGTGTCAGTTCATAATGAAAAAAATGTCTTAAACAGTTCACCATAAATTATAAAATATTTTCCTTCTCATGGATTCAAAACGTATAATTCTCGTGCCTATTTATGTACGAATTTTAACTTGAGGAAGTTTTTAAAATGTGCATAGCATTCAGTGATGAAACTAAACGAATGCACTGCTCACAAGTGGTTGAAAAAGTTTGCTTCTGGGAATGGGGATTGAAGACGAACCACCGTCTGGCAGACTTTTTGTCTTGAATGATGAATTGAGGAAAGCTGACGAACTTGATTCGAGTCAAACAACTCAAGTGCTAACCAGTGCTCAACGTAAGCTATGAAATGTGTTTTCTACAAACTGGCTGTTCAATAATTTGTTGAAGTGGTGAGGAGCAGTCAAGAATGAAATATTTTAGAAAAACACCTTTTACATATTTTTGCTGATATTTCAACCTTTATTCAGGTCATCTTCAGGGCATAAAATGTGGTGCTATTCTTGTAGTGTCATTTGTTTCATGTGAGATTGTCAATTTATGCCCTAAAGATGATACAAATGGAGTTGAATCGGTAACAAACATGAAAAAGGTGTTTTTCTAAAATACTTCTTTCCTGACTGCTCCTCACCAACCACTTCAACAAAGTAAGCAATGAAACTTTGCTCTAGTTTATATTGATGTAGGAAAATGAGGAAACTCAGCAAATGGATTCTTCATAAATTGATCGACGGTAACAAGCTTTAGCACCTAAATATTTGTCTGTCATTGCTTTCACAGCACAAAGTAGACTTTTTTCGACCAGATTGTCACATGTGATGCCTGTACAGTAGCACCAGCTGTACCATGGTTACCAAATGACCCTGCCCGGTGATGCTCTGTGTTCAGTGAGTGGTCACTCGGCTTGTAGATCCTGTGGTTATGGGTTCGATTCCCACATATGCCCCTGGCCTTTTTTCACACACCCCTTCTCCTAAACAAAAATCCGTATGTAGCATATTAAGACTTCTTCTCTAATGGCCAATTTTTGGCCATTATATTCTAAAACCCCCAACAATTGAAATTGAAATTTTTTTTTTATTTTAACAAAAAAAAATTATTTTGGGGTGCCACAAACAATTATAAACTTTGTTTCTTGCTAAACAAAAAAGCTGCATCACTCTGTCATAAATTATATATTTCAATATCTAGGACACCCCCCCCTCCCAATATTTTTCAACTTATATCCAAAAAAAGGCTGAACTAAAATTGATCTGTAGCCTCCTCTTGTAAGATATACATTACAATTTAAATCCTTGTGGGAATAATTAACAAAAGTCTATTGATAGTCATTCTAGGTCATTACTTTTTTTATAGTGAAAAATACTTGACAAAACATCAATATCGTGGACATATCGAGTCTAAATGGATTATCATTAGAACGTTGACAAACTTTAAGTCATTGGTACTACTGTCCTTGGCGCAGCAGTCTTCTTTGCCTCCATCTACTCAACTCTGAGCTTGTGGCATTGACTTTTTTATCTCAACTAAAAACCTTAATTGAAAGATATTGATTGGTCAAGCGGACCACGAAAACTAGTGAATTGAATAAGTTAAAATTAAGTATATCTTCACTAAAGCTCTCCGTAGCCATTTCATTTGTAGCCGAGAATCAAACTGATTACACAACATTTGAAAAATGGCAAAAAGGAGGGAAAATTCAAAAGGTGGGAAGTTGGTGTCCAAGTGGATCGAAGTCACGACAGCTCAAGTGGTAGAACAGCGGCATATCTAGCGAAGGTCGTGGGTTCGAATCCCGCTTGTGCCATTGACTTTTTTTATCTCAACTAAAAACCTTAATTGAAAGATATTAATTGGTCAAGCGGACCATGAAAACTAGTGAACTTGAGTATAGCATAGCTGTTTCTGATAATTTTTGCCATTCCATGGTTTGCTTCAGTCTTTTGCATCTTCTTGAGTTTATAAAACGGTTGGTGTGCTGTCTTGTGCTTATACATAAAAGTAAGAAACAGTTCTGAAAATACCAAAATTACTAGGATAGGCCAATACAATCAGAAACAACAATGCTACAGGTCCATCACCTCATACTTCAAGATGAAATCTCTATCATCTCATTGACTAGGTCAATAAGCCCTTGTCTGTTTAAGCTTTTCAACAAAGTGGGCAAAGAAAGAAAGAGCAAAGTATGTTGTGTACAAGTGGGCTGAATGTTTCGTCATTGTAGGTTACAATGTATCATCTGTTTTCAAACTCTTAAATACCTCAAGAAATGGTGTTTCAAACCCATCTATCTCAACGTTGTTGATTGACCCTGTTTTTTCACCTCCTCATAATGCAGTCAAGTTACAAGTGAAACCACTTTAAAATTTTAACATTTATAAAATCTACATTATTATGTATTAGTATAGTTTTCTCAGTGGATTATTGTCAGAGCATTGGTTGTGGAATCGCTAACCAGCCTTTTGTTTTTTTCTAATTCCCATTCACAACGGCTGAAAAGGTAATGAATAATGATAGCAATTATTTATTTTTAACAGAAAATAGCACATTTTAAAGCTACATCACATTACGTTATCACATTTTGAGAATAATACATACACACGGTTTAATTTAATGTTACTAAACATAAATGTTAAAAAGTTAGCTTAAGTCAAATTAAAACTGATTTAATTTTTTTTTTTAGTTTAGCTTCATATATAAATATATATTTATATATAAATATGCTTGTATTCACTACTAGTCAAAACCACTATTTTATATATTATATTTTACATTTTATATTATTATATATTACAATACTTCTTTTTTATGCAAGCCAAGCTGAGATGGCTTTTAGCCCATAAATGAACTGTTATTGAAACAATTATGCAATGTTAATGCGATTTAATTGTCTTAATGACCTTAACACATTAAAATTGCATATCAGTCTCAACCTTGAAATAAATGTTCCAGTTTTTTAATAGCAATTAATTGGACAATAAAAAAATAAAATAACGCAAATTTGACATAAGTCCTATGAAAAACACCTTTTGTGAATTGATGTACATTTAATTTTTTTTGCAATAATAAACAATTAAAAGATAAGTAACATAATAAAACAGTTATGATATGTTTAACCTAATATTAATTTACAATCTAAAGCATTACAAAAATATTAACTAATCACCAATCTCACATCTTACCGTCATTAGATTAGACAAGATACGAGGTGTAAAGAAGGGTCGAGTACCTCAGATGGGCACTGACCGTGTCATAATTAATCCCTGAACATTGAAAAGCTCTTTCTATTCTATTCCTTTTACATTACATATACACTTTGTTCATTTTGTTTTTATTCTCATGCAACACTAGCCCTTGGGAGAAATTGGGCCACTAGCTGTACAGAGAGAGAACATATAAAAAAATTCTTGTAACTGTGATGAGACGAAATTTATGGAAGTTAATTCTACTTTCACGGGTTTTTTGATTATAAGTTATTCTTTGGATAAAGCATTAAAATAAATAAAATAACGTCCAGAGGAGTCCCGCTTATCTAAACCCTGCTTTCAGTTGGCTAAGAAAATTTTTGTATTTTTCACTTTTATATAAACAGTATTAATGGTCAGTTATTGTGGTATTTCCCAATTTTAACTCTGGACTGGGGACGGCGGTAGCTGGGTTAAATTAACTCTTGACTCAAAAAGTTATCGATTCGATCCCCCCCCAAAAAAATTATTAACTCCAGGAACATACTTTGGCTAATATAAGAAAAATTATTAAAAATGAAAACACTGGCCCGATTTTGTTGCACTTTCACTTTTAAATTGTAAGATTTCACCCTGACATTTGTGTTGCAATGGGCCTTTAGTTTGGTCGATTCCAAATATTTGATGAGCCATTGCTGGTTTAGCATGTCAGACGCATTTCGGCTTCTCAAGATTAATATTAAAAACTGAAGATGGCGAGAAGTTTAAATTATCAGACGTACTAAACTAGTGAGAATTAAAGTCCAAACACTTTCATCCTTGTCCAGATTTTTTCCAAACTTCCAGTTTATATGTCTTAACAACTAGTTATTTGGTTAATCGAAATTTCTGCAAATCTCGATCTAAACTTGATCGAACTAGTGGGACTCCACTGTAATACGATGAAACAAATAAAAACTTTCTCCTCATTTCACTTAAATTGTATAAAAAAAAATTGTTCTTAAACAATTAAAGAAATTTGGCTTAATAAACAGAAAATTAAAATTGATAGAAAAGTCATTAGATATTTATAAAACAGAATAGTTCCCCATTGTAGTCTTGATCGAATGGGCTGTTGGTTTGATGTTAACTGAAGCTGTGGTTCTTGAGGACGTTGGGGTTTATTTGTATGACCGTCGTTCCGATTGATGATGAGGCTAACTTGTCTTCAAGAGATACTTCTGTCAAGTCATCTCTGTCCTGAAACAAAAGCCGTTAAGCCGCATGGACAGTTTAAGGAATAAAGAGACTTACGAGTTCGGGGAATGTGACTATCCTTTCATCGGGTGTCGAAGGTGGTGCAGCCGCGGAGAGGACCTCGTCCTTCTTAACGACCAGGGATGGCGAATCCAAATCCATGATTTCATTTTCAGCCGCTTTCTCCAGGCTCAGAGTCAGCCTTTCACGATTCAAATTCATAGCCGTTTTATGTGCTACAAGAATAATAAATGAAGAAAAAATATGTATTATAGAAATTTTTTGCGGGAAGAATTTGAACGAAATGTAAAGTCTATAGAACAAGACAAATTTATGTCAAATGCTGCCAAAAGATTGTTGAACAAGAAATGTCTTTTTTTATTTATTTGTACCTGTTACCGGAAAAAAAAAAACTATTTTAATCAAAGTATTTTTTGCACATTTTTCTAACGATTTAAATACTAAGTTTTTTATAGAAGTTTTGAGACAATTTAAGACTTAAGATGAAACAAAACAAATTTAAATAGTTGTATCACTGAAAAAAAAGTTTTTGTAAACTCTCCAATCTTTTATCTTTCGTAATTGTCAAGGACTGAGTGTGAGCCGACAATATTGGGCTTCACCTCACATCTTCATCACTTAAGTTTCTTTATTATTTTTATAACTGAATGCAAGCTTGCCATTTTTGTTTATTTTACCCCTTTGTTAACGTGCACGTACTTTCGAAGACAAGACATTTTCAATACATTTAATTTCTTAAAGAAAATTAAGTACATTAATTTCAATTAATTTCTCTTTGTTTATAAAGATTAAAGTTTAGTTTTTAATTTATTTGTTTATATTCAAGATAAAAATTCATTTAATTTGTTTTATGTTAAATTAAAATTAATACAAATATTTTTTTTTTCTTTTCCAAAGAAAACTGAATTGTTATTCACCACATACATGTGCATGCTCCTTACATTCAGAATTTAAAAATAGGTTTGTCACCAATTTATGATTCAACGGTTTATTCTATTTTAATTATTTTATTTTATGTAGATTTCTTAATTCCTACAGGAGGAATAAAAAAAATAAAAATAAAAAGAGAGGAAGAGGGAAAGAAAGGAGAGTTAATTTTCTGGAAGGTTCATATATTTAATTCAGTGATAGCGTCCGGCAAATTAGCAAACCTACCTTTGAACCAGTGGGATACGGTGAGGAGGTTGGTTACTTCAATTTCTTTTCATGAAAGCCTCTCCCCCCAACAGCTTTAATTTCTCTATTATTTAAGGGTTTGTAGGGGATTGCGGTAGCAGAGTGGTCAGCATTATAGACTCTCGGTTTGTAGATCATAGGTCATGGGTTTGATTCCCGCCTTTGCCCCTAGGCCTTTTTTTTTGCAACCGAACCCCCCCCCCCACTATATATGATAGTTAATAATCAACGGTATTGTACTCCGACTAATATGCAAGCTCATAAGCCCCATATTAAAATAAATAAATGATCTCGGCAAAATGGTGGTTGTTATCTGTGTACATGGACAAATAGATCTCGGGGTAATGAATAGGAATGGATAGGACAAGAAGGCTAAGGACGGGACGTCCCAACTTCAGACTTAACCATTGCGATCAAGGGCCCCCTAATGCTAAAAATGCAATGAAAAACATGATTAAAAGAAAATAACAGAATGGCAGAGAAGCTCTTGCTCATCAAGAGCACTGTCGATAGGAGGCCCTGACTCATAGAAGATGGGTTATTCTCACCCGATTAAGGATAGGTTGACACATGGACTCTTACTTTTGGGCCAAAGCCCGCATATGTATCAGGCACGTAGAGAAAGATTGCTCGATGTGTGTACTTAAAGGGTGCAATTCATTGGGTCCATATAGACAGTATAGAAATTGATATTAGAATAGTGCTTGAGCACGGAAGCGAGTATGTGGGCCTTACGTTTTGATTTTTGGAGGAAACAGGGTTGTTTTATTGTATATAATCTCTGTTTAGTTTTGGGTACCTAGTATGTGTTGAGAGTGAGTGTATTTACTAGCGTGAAAGTATGAGAGGGTCAATGGCTGTATACCAAGTACCCATTAATTCTCAATTAGGTTAGTTATATAGTTAGATGTAAAAGGTGATGGAGGAATATTGAGTATGGGTGAATGGGTAAAAAGGAATGAATATTTAAAAGTGAATGGGTTTGGATTTCAGAACTGTTTGCGTTGGGGGTTGACATGACCTAGCTGTGGGCAGCCCCCAGAGGCTGGAAAACCAAGGTTTAACCCCTGACTCAACCCCCGGAAGTTGGTTCTTCTCAAAGCCTGCTGGTAATTTATTATAACAATTATTCTTTTTATCTAAGTTTTTTCATCTCAACCAAAAACTTGGGGGTAGAAATAAATCAATTAGAACTCACTTTGTAATATAAAAATGACACATCTGTAATCTCACAAAAACCATACCAGAAAGCTTCATACAATAAAATGCAATGGTTCTTCTTGTAGAAAGCACCTAACAACAAAGGAGGAACTTTTCAGAGGAAATGCTCAAAGTGTTTTCCCTCTTCTCGAATGCATAACTGACTTTCTGAATTTCTACCCCCCCCTTCAAATTTACCTTAGCTACGTTTTCGAACATTCAATTGTTATTTTTCAACTCTACTAGAACGTTATTTAAAAACCTGGATATATCAATGTAAAGCATATTACATGAAAAAGTTTTTGTGAAATTTGACAAGTTGTAGGTATTTTTTTGTAACCTCAGTAGAATGTGCAATCATGACCAAAATTTTAAATTTTGTAATTTTGACATGTTCCAACTGATATTGGCTAACATTTTATATCATTCAGATTATTGCAAAGAAGTATCTTACAGCAAATTTAGTGTTCTTTTAAATGGTGTAATTGGATTTGTTGTAGTCTCAACATTTTGAAAGTTGTAAGCGTTTTTATGTGGTAAGGTAGTGAAAAGTTGAAAAAACCTAAATTGACGAATATCTTCAAAATAGAGAATTTTCTGAAAATTTTCTCCTGAGCATTTTTTGCTCCAAACGAAGAGCAGAATCGATAATTTCACAGCCAAGCTCTATTAATTTGTTCAAACTCTGAACATGAACTTATGATTTTTCCTTCTTGAAGGTGGGATTAAAAAAAAAAAATGTTTTTATCCACATTTCAGATTTATTTTACTCCTTCCTCAGGTGAGTTAACGCAATGGTTAAAACAGTGGTCGTCTGTCATTAAAAATAAATCCCAAACGTTGTGGATAAAAATTGGTCGTGGTTTTTTTTGAGATGACCTATTATCCCACCTTCAATAAGGAAAAATCATAAGTTAAACTGTTGAGGTCGAAATATAAGAAAACATCTGAACATGAAATCAGGCATTGTCGTAAAACTTTAAAGGTCTTGATAGGGCCTTTCTTGTTCATCAGGTCGTTTATTTTATTTCTGATAATTAAAATAAATATTATACCCGTGAACTCCAACTGTGCATTAGCTGCTAGCGTAATGGGACAATTGGCATGGGCCAGCAGTAGACCCTTGAGCCTGGCGACTTCTTCTTTAAGCGAGGATACTTCATGGATGAGTGCACGGTTCGCATTTGACATCTGATCTGCCCTTCGGACCAGTTCCTCGACCCACTTCTTTCTCTTGGCACGACATCGGTAAGCAGCTTCCCTAAAACACATGTAAGTACAATAACAACAAATGGTACATTACAAAAATTAAGCTATCTGTTTATATATGCCATACTGTTGTCAAAAATATTACTATTAAAACTCTAGAAATAATGGTGAAGAATGTTTTAATTTTTTTGTTTTATTTTTATGAGGGTATTTCAAATTCAAGGTTATATGAACCCTCAAGGTGCTGGTTTTTTTTTTTTTTTTTTTTTTTTTTTTTTTTTTTTTTAATGTAAGGGTGAATTTAAATATCCTAAAATCATTAAACAACACCAATGAAATAGGTTAACTTTCTACTAGTCAAATGGCAGCTCTGCCAATCAGACAAAAAGCAACACACACTTATTCACGTCTTAAAAAGTAAATTATGACAGTAGAAAGCAGTATATTACAAATATCCTCTAACTGCTCAATTTTTAAAATTTTATTTTCTAGAAATATTGTTCCAATGATTCAAACCTGTTCCTTTCGAGGACTTTTTGCCTTTTTTCTCTCAAAGCATCGTCTTCTACGGATTCCGACACAATTTTCTTCAAACTAGGGCTTGAGTTTCTTTTCTGCTGTAAAACAACATAGCTAGAATTTCCTCTGATTTTATCCATAATAAATATAAAAAAATTAATTAACTAAACAACATACACGGGAGGGTTTTGAATTTGATGATTTCGAATCTGGTGATATGTTAAAATTAGCTGGTGCTTTTGTCGATCCTCCGAGAAAAGCTTTGAGCTTCTGTAGAAAACAAAACATTAAAAAAAAAACACTTTTATACTTCACCCCTTAATGCTAATGAATAACTTGCCGATTTAACATCAGGGCTGTTTTGGATTACAGGCTTGGTCTGCGTTAGTTCCTGAATCACTTCTGTTGTCGGGGTGAGTATCACCGTGCTATTGTTCGCTTTGAGTGAAGGCAACAAAGAGACTGAATTATTCACTGGTATGGCTTGCAACGGTTTTGTCGACAATTGTATAAAACCGCCGCTCGGAAGCTTTAAGATGACCTGGACGGGGTCTTCGTTGCTTTCGTTCTTTTGCCCTTCAAGAGTTGGAGGTGAGCTGAAATAAAATTTTTAAAACACCTAACAAAAAGCGAGTGAATTCATTTTACTTACGGCTGTGGAGTAATCGGCTTTAAAGAAGTGTCAGCTTCTGACCTTATGACGACTTCTTCACTGCATTCATTTTCATTATCTAACGAAATGAATAATTGATAAAAAATTTAAAACATAATTGGCATAAAAATAAATAAATAATTACTAATTGTTATTTCTTGCTGGACTTCAGGAAACAAATGGGGAGTGTGAAGGTCATCGCCAGCGGGTTTGCTCAAGAAGGACGGCTGTTTCAAATATTGTGATTGGATGAAAAGTAAAAAAAGAAAGAGAAAGGTTCACACATACCGATTCACTCCTATGAGATCCACCTTTCTTAACGTTCTCGGCTGCTTTCCTGAACGTCTCCTCGAACGGGTTTACATTCTGTAAGTCCTGGAAAAGGCCAATTTCTTCACAGTTCCTTATAAACCGGGTCGGCGTCGGCGTCTGGTCAACTGTAAGGGAAATTTGAATATTTTTTGAAAATTGAACATTTGACATCCCACCTGAGGAAATTTACAGACGCTGTTATCACATTTCATAAAAGCAATACTATATTAAAGAAAAGGCTGTTTGTGAAAATATTTTCATGGATAAAGACAGAAAAAAAGAGCTAAAAAATGCACTGCCTTTTACAACTAGCTAGTTTCGCATGAAATCATAACTACTACAGTTTCAAAAGATGAACTAAGAAAAATTAGATTTCAGCGCATTATTAAGTTACAAATTTTCACCCAAAAATATGAAATGGTTTATATTTCAATATGCCATATGACACGACCATTTACAAAACTTTTTTTAGTTGGTTTTAAGCAACAGCTAAGCCTCTATGACTTCCAGAGGATCGCCCCACTAAACCACAAAGTTGGAGGCCCACAGTTGATTTTTAATAAGGATTTTCGACCTTACTTCTTTCTGGGAAATAATTGAAGCTAAAAGATATTTCAATAAATTTTTTAGTCAAAAAATTTCCTATTATTTTCATTTGCATATCCTTGCTGTTTTAATATGTCATTGCAGACCAAGATCTACAGAAACAACAAAACTGCAGGTTCATCTTTCCACAGGCCATAAAAGGAAATCTCGCAACTTAATTGTTTTAAAGACAGGACTTAGAGGACTTGGGAAACTGTGCATTTATCATTATATGGAGATCGTGAGATACAGTCTGGTGTGACGTAGGTTTAGAAAAACATTTTCTTGATCTTGCCAATATTTTGATGTTTATTGAGATCATCTTCAGGCCCTGGGATTTATAAACATTGTACATGTAGGATGTGAAAAAATGAATTTATACATGTGCATTTATCCTCCACAAACATCCTACTTTTAATGTAAACTATAAACAAATGTAGACATAGCTAGTTAAAACCAAAATACAAAAATGTAAAAACAAAATGTGAAGTATGAATTTTAGTTGTGCAAGGCTTTGAGGATGGAAAAGAGACAAATACGATGCCCAAGAGTCCACATGATAATGATTTATGTATATTTTGTGTAAAGCTTAGGAGAGCAAAATGCAGGAATTCATTTTTAATTAAATAAAAGAGGATTTGTAGATTAGTCTTTTGTGGAACAGAATGTTTTTGCTTGGATTATAACCTGTCGCGAACCTGTCAAGACTGGTAAATGTCATTTTGACGTTTGAAGAGGAAGCTGTTTGGACGCAGCTTACGTCCCGGCATCCGATGTTACAATCTGGTGAGAATATTCTTTAACGTTATCGAAATTCTCTAAAGACTCACTTGTTGATACGTTGCCTTTGTTGAGCGTGAGTATCATGTCGTGCTTTCTCGCGTGAACTCTCAGTTGTGACTCGGTCTGGAATTTCTGAAAACCCGGTCGTTTATCTATGAGCCGTTTCGCTAATTATTAAACAGGCTTGGAAGTGTTTTTTTTAATTGTTTCATTACCAGTACACAGCTCTTTGACGGGCAGGACAAGTCGCCTTCTTCCATTGCGCCTCTTTTCCGAAACGAAAGGGATCAAAAAACGATACGGGCCTCCGACACGCTCCGGTTCATTTCTTTGCCAACTATTTATTAATTAAAAAAAAAGCGTTTTTTTTTCGAAAATCGGATCTTTTGTTAGAAAAACTGGATAGGAATGCAAAGAGGAAGTTGAAAGTAAATAACGCAGTAACAGCACTGGAGGTAACGCACTATTGTCAGCAGAACCTCGGGCTGACGGGGAACTACGTTTAATTTGCAAAATAATTATTTTAATACAATAAAATTCTAATAAAAAATCTCGTTCAATTAATTCTGAAATTAATAAAGCGACGGCCAGGTTGGTGTGTCACGGATTTGGACCAAACGTTTTTTTGTGATTCTACACTCCAAAATATCGGACACATATACGCCACTTCTTCCCAGATTCCATAATAAATTTGTACGGTGTATTTTATTTATTTATTTTACGGATCAAAAACAAATTTCTTAAAATAAAAATTTAAAAAAATATACACCTTAAAAATAAGAATCCACCTAACTTAACGAATTTCTTTTCTGGTTAATTCAGGGAATGAAGAATTTCTTGTATTCGTGCATTTTAGTTCAATTGATTTTTGAGAGCCACTAGGGATGCCAGGGAATCGTTACATATAATTAATTCTGTATAAAGATGAGCCCCACAATATTTATACATTTATTAATTACCAATCGGCAGTGTAATTGCTGCAGGTTGATGGTAATAAGAACATTATTTCTGTGTCCTTTTAAGAAATAAAGATAGTTCCTATTCATCATTTCTATTATTTCTGTGTTGTTGTAAGTAAAAGCCGCGCCTTCGTTACTCTTCAACCCACATGTGACAATGAATCTTGAATTTTTTGGTAAGGAAACTATTTTTAAGAAGTCTTGCTTGTGCTGTACGTTTTCTATTGAATTACTTAGTATTTTCTCATGTGGTGAGCAAACAACTGAACATTATTCTAAAATAGGATAGACCATAGACTTAAACAATATTAATCATATATTTTATATAGCATTTTTCTAGTTGATATTAATTATTTAGCGTATTTTTGTAACAATCCGTATATTTAAATAAACAAAAACCAGATAAATATAGTATGTTAGCGTTCGCCATTTTTAACAGATGAACGCCATTTTGCTCAAGACAGTATATTTCACACAGTGTTTTGAAATCAAGGAGAATCTATTCTAAATCAATTTTCTTATAATATAAAGAATTATCTTTGTTTTACAAAAGCAGAAGACAATTGAGAATAATAATGAATTTACCTGAAATACCAAAGAATGTATTAACGATCCTTTTAAGCCGGAGGTTTTTACTGTGTAGCTAGCTGTGGTGAGGTCGTTATTTGCATAGAATTCGCTTGAAACTCCATTCGGAGCTAATGCCTTTTAACTCGTTAAACTAATTGAACATTTTTCTTTATAAATAGTTTTCATTTTTCCTCAACTATAATTTATTTCCTGTACAATTAAGCATACATAACTGTTTTGAAACAATTTTAATTTAAATCTATCGATACGGTGATAATATCGATTATCGATGCCTTGAAAGATTTAATCGGCCGTTTCCTTTGTCCTTGGATCTTGGGGGTTTGGCCTTTGGTACTTAATAAGATTAGTTCATTTATGATTTTGTAGCCCGTCGTGCCAGTACTCTCTTCCATCAGGTATTTATTGTTGCTGATCTCTGAGAAAAATATATCTGTACAACATTTATGTGTTGTTTTTTTTAAATATAAATATACAAATAATCAATTGTCGGTTTTTCTATGTAATGATAAAAATAAACTAAAACCCTGGCATAAGGTCGAACCGGCTTAAAAACGCCGACGTTATTTATTGTTTTGTTTAGATCCTTTTTATTACCAACATGTGTTTCGTTATCGTGTGATCATAATTCTGTCAGTTTGCCTTTGAATTTTGACGGATTGAAAAATGACGGAACAAATATCAGAGTGAGTATCTTTTGTCGTTAAAAGTAAGCCTAGGGGATTTATATAGAAATGACTTTTTTTTAATAAAGAAGTTTGGTGTTTTCCGAATGTTCCGGTCCGCCTGTCCTCGCTGTTTTGGTCACGCGTATCACCATCTTGTATCTTAATTGGTGGGTGTGTGAGCTTTATTACTGAAGCACAACTATTTGCCTTTTTGATCTTCAGGGGTGGATGAATTTTAAAAACATTAGTTTATACATTTTTATAAACCGCCTAAAGAATCATCCTGTATATATTTACATGCGTATATTGAAAACCGACAAATTCTTTTTTATCGTTATAATCTTCCACTTATCTTCCCTCCTTTTCACACTTTCCTCTCGCTTGTCTCGTTATATTCCTCTATTTATATGTTGTATCTACTGTTTTCTCCATCTACATAGTTATATTTTCTAATATTTCTTTCTTAAACATTCTCTCTCTCTCCTCATCTTCTCTTTGTGTATTTGAAGATGCGTTGTACTACTGGGGCAAGGGTGAGAGGAATCGGACCCACAACCGTAAGGTCTATAAGCCAAGAGTGTATGCTATTCATTTGGCTACCGCGGTCCCTAATAATTTTTCATATACATGTTTTAAGATGCTGAGGGCAGACTTAAACTTGCTTCTAGTCATATTAATTTCCAGAATAAAAAATTATATACTGGGGTTATGTATTAATTTACGTGTATGGTGTTTAGTGACCGTTAGTCAGTGATTATTTGGAGATTATGAGATGTGATCTGGTGTGTCGTAAGTTTTAGAAAAACATTTTCTTTATCGAACCAACGTTTTGATTTTATTGAGATCATCTTCAGGGTCTGGGATCACTTTGGTACACTACAATTATTTAATAAGTCCAGTAGCGGATCCAAGGGGGGGGGTGTAAAAGGGGGAGTTACCCTTTCCCCCTGGAGCCAAGTGAAGAGTTATGTTGACACGATAAAAAATTTTTTTTTCTTCTAAAACCTACATCACACCAGACTGCATCTCATGATCTCTGAATAATAATTAATCATTACAATTACAAGTAGAACTCATATTTATATGGAATACAAATTCTCAAATTTATGCCATATAATATGCACTAATAAAACCTCAAATATGATGTATAATTTGCATGAATAAAATTTCAATCATGTTGCATAATTTGCGTTGAAAATATAAAATATGCTTCATGAATATCAGAGACATCACCGGACTAATATTTTTCTTTTTTTTCACCAAGACATATTTTTTCTTTTTGTCTAGTGCATATTCATTTTGAATGGAACAAATACAGAAAAATAATATTTAAAATATTATACAAAATTGATAATTAATCCATGTGTGTATTTAGTATTCATAATTGACCTTATTAATGATTTTAATTATTTATATATATATANATATATTTATCTAAGCTCTTCGTTGAGATGAAAAAGCTAGTGTCAAAAGCGGGATTTGAACGCATGACCTTCAGCTCAATATGCCGCTGCTCTAACCACTTGATCTATCATCACTTTGGTACACTACAATTATTTAATAAGTCCAGTGGCGGATCCAAGGGGGGTGTAAAAGGGGGAGTTACGCTTCCCCCCTGGAGCCAAGTGAAGAGTTATGTCTTATTTTTGCCCTGATTAAGCAAAGAGGCTTACATTTCAGGATTATAAAACCTTGATCTGTTACCTCTGATAAACCTTCCCTAAATTAAATCAGTTTCTTCTTAACTGGTCACGCTTTGTCTTTGTTGTCCCCCGGTTCGATACTTCGATCATTTGATTTGATATCAAGAAACCTGTAAATTGACGTTTAATTTTAGGTAGCTTTCTTTCAAAAATTTAGCGCCTCTAGCAGTCGTATTTTTGATTGCATTGCAATGAAATTTGGCAGTGTAAAGAATCCTATAAGGATGGTTGGGATGTTTTTCAGGCAATTAGACTGGGTGTTGCAGAGTTATAGGCGATGAAAGTAAAAAATTAAGTCAAAATTTTTGCCAGTTTTGAGTTTTCTCCCACATAACAAGCTCGGATTGTTTAACTTAACTCCCTCTTAATTCTGCCCCTCATTATTGGATTTTCACATTTTTGGTACTGATTTTAAGCGGGATTCTTCCTGTAACTTTTAAGCTAGGTTTGGCTCAAACCCAATTGTCCAAATAACTTCTTTCAATTAATTAATCTTTTTATGTAAGGTATTGGTTGAAATGAAAAAGTTGGTGACACGAGCGGGATTCGAACCCACGACCTTTTGCTCAACATGTCACTGCTCTAATCATTCGCCGTGTCACAATAACTCAAGTGGTTAGAGCAGCGGCATATTGAGCCAAAAAGAAGTTATTATAAAATTTGAAAAAAATCCCATACAGCACCTATTTCTTTTGTTTGAAAGCTCAAATTAATTTCTTTTTGATAATAAACTGAAACCGTAGGCGTGTTTTAATTTTTTGTTACCAAATATGCCAAAATCTCTTTTAAATTAACAGAGAAATCACGGTAAAAAGCAAAAGTCCTTAAAATTGTTTATATTATTTAAAAAAAAACATGATGTGGCCACAAGTCTTTTTCCATAAATCTCTTGTTACTGAAAAGTAATAGTGAAGTAATGCGAAAAAATAATTAATTAAATAGCTTAAATAAAATTTCAAATTAGTAGTTAGTAGGTAGTTAAGTTCAAATTAGTAGGTAGTTAACTAGTAAACCATTATTTTATTTTCATTATTTTCAGTGGCCTAGGAAAAAATGGCCCAGATCTAATTTAACTTAACGCCAGCTGTTAATAAGAAACAAACATTTGATTAATTTTTTTATGATGTCACGTTTTGTATAAAATAAATAATAATATGTACCCATGGTTTTCATATTATTCTATAATTTTTAAAGTAGCAAATTTTGAGCACTGCTGGATTGATTCCGCAAAAGAATGAAATCTACCTCACCCCTTACTGCTGTGAGGTTTTTTTTAATTTTAGTTTGTTTTGTTCTAAAAAATTACATTGCAGACCATGATTTTTTTTATTGATTAGACATGTCCTGGTGCTTTTTCGATTTCTGCCTGTAATCTTCTTATTCGATCTCTCGATGTGATAACCTCTAAGTTGGTGATTAATTTTTTATATTCTTAATGATGGTAACTAAAAACATTTTGCAAATATATAAAAATTATGTTCCTTTTTGAAAGTAAAGTATTGAAACTTTCAAATCAAGTTTTTCCTCCATCTTTTCCCTTTGAAGGAGGAGAAATTATTGTGTTCGGGAGAAAAACGATGTACAGAGTTTTCTCTTGATTTGCACGTTTTTCGGTCCCCTGTGCCTTAAAAAAAAAAAAATCAAAATCCCCCCTCACATGACCAACCTGGATCTGCCCTTGCATAAGACGCCGAGAATTGAATCCTTATTATATGATATTTCACAATATGGCAAAAAGAGGGAAAATTTGAAAGGTTGTAGGTGGAGAAGAAGAGTGGATCGAAGTCATGATAGTGCAAGTGGTTAGGCCAGCGGTGTGTTGAGCCGAAGGTTGTAGGTTCCAATCCTGCTCATGACACTAGCTTTTTCATCTCAACCAAGATCTTAGATAAAAAGTATAATTAATTAAAAAATTAATTAAAATAAATAATTAACTTATGATGTGAATTAAAATTGACCTTGGTATAGCGTTTAGCACTTAACAAATATTCATATCTCAAAAAAAAAAAAACTTCAACATCGACATAGGTGAAGGGAATATACTTGTAGGAACTTCAAATAACTGGATCATCAATTCCCTGTATAACAACATTACAGTTTTCGTTTAAGATTTCATTAATTTCCCCTATTCAGACAATAGGGGGCATTTGTGAATTTCTCTTGCAATGTAATGCCTGTATACTGGGTTTTTGTGTTGAAAGGAAAAATACAACCTGCTATTTTACAAATTTAAGATCTTGCTTTTGGCCTTTTTTTTAGGTTTGATATAGGTATCGTAGGTTGAATGTCAATAAAGCCTTTAGATCCTACTGTTTTTTAGTTTATTCGGGAAAGCATTATTAAGTAAAGAGTAATAATAAATTAAAACAGTATTATTGATTATTGTAAGCAGTCAATAAACATTTGGAACTAAAGGCTTTATCGACATTGAACCTATGAGTTCCACTACAAAAGTTCAACAAACCTTGAAAAAATGTTTGATGTAAATAATTCCTATCATACCGGGCTTAACGTTTTTTTTCCAGATACATTCTTTTTCGAAGAAATTATCACTAAGTTAGTTTACTTTAACGTAACAACCTTTTGTGATTAGAAAAGCACATAAAATATGAGTGCGTCTACAAATAAATTATAAATTATAATAATAAAGCAAAAAAAAAAAACTTTCAGAATTATAAAAAAAGTAAAGTTGAGTCCTAGATCAAAAACTAAAAAAAAGACAACTTAATTTAGACTATTCAGCATGAAAAACTTGAAAAATCAATTTCTCAAAACTATCAAAACAATAGATTTCTTCTTAGGAAGACAGAATGCACATTGCTTGAAATAAAATGTGTTGTCTCTCTCTTTTTTGTTTTGAATTCTTACAGTTTGGTGTGAGCATGGTTCAGCATGTTGTTAAACGTCCCCATTTATGACTCAAAACAGTTTTAATAAAAAATTGCTTTCGTTTGCTCTCTGCATGGCAAATATTGGTTGACGTGTTTGAGAAAGATATCAGATGTTAATATTTGTCCAGCGTTCAAGTCTAGAGGGAAAAGAAAATCAATTTTACCCTAATTGGTTATGTAACAAAATAACTTCTCTATAATCTGATATTAATTATGGTGTCACGAGTCCTGGAATATTTAGGGAAAATTACAAAAAGATCACAACGGAAGGGGAAGCCACTAGGCTAGATAAACGTGCCATTCTGTGGCCCTAAGATCTATCGGGGTCTGAATGTGGCAGAAGACGTCACAACAAAGTCGTAAAGTTGATTTTTATTTATTTATTTTTTGCTAGCCTAATCGATGTTATTTGCCTCAATGCTTTAATAATTAATTAAGATGTTTTATTTCAATTTTTTTACAGACAAACTAATTGATTTATTTTGGAGTAAGGATTAATTTTATTTTAATTTAAAGGAAACATTGTTTTAATTAATTATTCTTTTTCATCTCAACCCCAAGACCTTAGATAAAAAGAATAATTAATTGAAATAATTAATATGGTCAATTATGACTGCTAAACGTATATAGATTATTGTTTTAAGTTCAATATTTTCTTTTCATTATTTGTAATTTTAAAAACTGATTGATCAAAACTCATTACACACAAACAGTTATACAATTTTAGGGAAATTGTTTCATATATTTGCTGCGGAGTAGAAAAATTTTTTTAATCAAAAGTCCAGGGAATTCAGCAACAGGTCTTACTTATATTTTTATACTTGAAATGTCTTAGATATTACTACCTAAAGTGTCTTCAATTATATAATAGGTATAAAACTGTAAGTTTTCATAAACTGGTGATAACAGTCAAAAGATAAAAGGTGTACAAACATATAAAAAGATAATGTTGAAGTTGTCAGATTTCTGCAAGCCACTGGTGTGCATTCATTTTGGATTTTTTTAAAAATAATTTCTTTGGGTAAGTGCTTTGTGTACCTAATTTGTTTTTTGTTTCCCCTCACTATTGTAACAATAACAGTAATTGAAAAAAAAAAAAAAAAAGTGTAGGTATTTATTGTAGATTTTTAGGAACTATTAACTATTTTTCAGATCTCTTTAGGAAATATATAATCTTCTGGTATATTTTTGAGTACTCTGTTTAGGAGGTTGATGAGGTTGATGATATCAGGCCACAATAAATAGACTTTCAATGTCCAATTGACTTTATTACCGATCGGTTTCAACCCACTGGGTCATTCTCAAGGTCCTACAATCAACATTTCTGTCAGTTTTAAATTTTTTTTTACAGAAGCAGACTCTGTACTATGGACATTAAAAGTCTATTTATTGTGGCGTGTTATTATCAACCTCCCAAACAGAGTATTAAAGCTGAGGCCCACAATCCCTCGGACTTTTATTGAGCTTGTCTTGTTTCTGAAAAATTCCTCGAAAAGATCTGTGTATCCAACAGCCGAGAAGGAAAATATTAATTATTTTCTGTTTTCCAGAATGCCCACCTACAAGCTTACTTATTTCCCGATCAAGGCATTGGCCGAACCGATCAGGTTCATGCTGTCCTACCTCAATAAAGAATTTGAGGATGTACGGGTGAAAAAGGAAGATTGGCCGCAGTACAAGGAGTGTAAGTTAATTCATCCGAATTTGTTTCTCAACATCTATGAAAGTCAATAATTACTCATGAAAGTCTTGTTCTGTTAGTTCATCTTTATTTTACTAATTTGTAAAAATGTAAAAGTTAAAAGTGAAATATAAAGACTTGCAATAATCATATGAATTCTACTAACATTCCAACCAAGGATTTGTAAATTATGTATTTGTTTAGCTATGCCTTTTGGCAAGTTGCCAGTTTTGGAGGTTGACGGGAAACAGCTCCACCAGTCGACCGCCATCACTCGCTACCTTGGAAAACAAGCCAATTTAGCCGGGAAGAATGACTGGGAAGCGTTACAGATTGACATGGCCGTTGAAACCCTTCACGACTTCCGTGCAGGTTTGAAAATAAACCATTTAATGCAATGTACTTAAGATAAAACTTTTATATATACTTGCAGCTGTTGCTGGTTTCTGGTACGATGACAACGAAGAGACCAGAGCTAAAAAGAAGGAAGTTGTCCTGAAGGAAACAGCACCATTTTACCTTACTAAATTTAACGAGCAGGTTGGCAACAACGGTGGTTACCTTGCCAATGGGGCTGTAAGTTTTTAAAACCGCATTTTCAAATTACAAATCACATTAACGGGCTATATTTATTTTTCAGCTGTCATGGGGTGATGTCTATTTTGTAGCCGTTGCCGATTATCTCAGTTTCATGCTCGGGTATGACTTGTTTGAAAAATACTCCAACCTAAAAACCCTTAAGGATAATGTCCTCGCTACTCCTGGGATCAAATCCTGGGTCGAAAAGCGTCCACAAACTGACCTTTAATAGGTTTAAAATGTTTACAGAATCACTTATAAAGTTTAAAATCATGTTATGTTACACGTTTGTATTTTCTTGCGCAAATAAATTTTAAAAAGGTTGTGCAAGTATTTTTTTTGAGAAAGTTGTATTTTTTAATAATCCTTTCAATTATGTACCAATGAAACATACCACATGGTGTATTATTATTATATATAAACTGCTCAAAAATGAATAAGTATATTGCCAATTTAGTACAATTTACTTTCCCTAGTATTTTTATTTTATTTTTATTATAAATTGCATTAAAGTTTATGAGAAATTATTGTTTTTTACTGAAGGAAAATTTAATTAAGGGATTTTTAAAAATAACAGTATAAAAGATTTTAATTCCATAATTTTTTTATTGTACATAATAATGTTTTTAAACAACGTGTATAATGTCCTCCAAAACCTCTGCGCACCTGTTAGGTGTGTTTTTTTAAACTTTTGATACTTCATTAGTTTCATAAATTGATTGGGGATATTTTGACCAAATTTTATGAAGATTGATACAGGGAATAAATTTCAAGTATCAACAGGCCAAAGTCGCTAACTCGCAACTCTCGACTCAACCGAGGCTTCAATTTGGATAAATCGAAAAAAAAGATACTTTTCAAATGTTTTTTTAGACTTTTGATATTTCCTTAGTTTCATAAATTGTTTGGGGATATTTTGAACAAAATTTATGAAGATTGATACAGGGAATCAATTTGAAGTATCAACAGGCCAAAGTCGCTAACTCGAAACTCTCGACTCAACCGAGGCTTCAATTTGGATAAATCGAAAAAAATAGACTTTTCAAATGTTTTTTTAGACTTTTGATATTTCCATAGTTTCATAAATTGTTTGGGGATATTTTGACCAAA